TTTTCCCTGATTTTTCCCTGAACGAAAGATAGAAAGAGAAAGATAGATTAACCCTACGATCCATCGTTTTTCGATCTTCCGTTTCTCTCTTTAATTCTTTTTCTTTCTTTCTCTCGTATAACATTCCCACACACGTCTGTTTTATTTTCATCCCGAAGAGTATTCTTTATACCACGCGAAATAAATCTATTAAAGAAATAAAAAGGAAGGCAAAGAAAAAAAAGAGAGAAAATAGAAAGGCGTCGCTCGTGCGTTCGATTTGATCTTCAATTAAAAATAGAATGTTTTCGCGAGAATCTTCTTACGAAGGATTCCGTAACGATTCGATAACGAAGGGAGGAAAAGAAGCAGAACTAATTCCATCCATCCATCTTTCCTTTTTTTTTCTTCTTGAATCTTTCAGCCAGATCATTTGACACGACGTGCCTGCAGTCGTCGAGATCGGCCGATCGTGTGACCGAACCAGCAAGTTCCTTGTTCAACGAGAACGTATCTTTGGCTGAGCCACAAGAGGAAAAGATAGATACGAGGGTAGGGGTAGTAGGCGAGTCTCTTCCGATCAACAGCAGCAGCAACAGCAGCAGCACCAACATCATCACCACCACCACCACCACCAGCACTACGACCACTACCACTACTACCACTAACAGTTCAATTCCAAGAGCAACGACGGATCAGGGCAGCAACGAGAAGCAAGCAGTCGGTGAGTGGAATTCATTACCGGTACTGGTAGAGCGCCTTCGTTCGGTGCTCGAGCTCTCGCTCGCGATAGCCGATACATCATCACCGATCAAGGAGGATCCACGAGAACTTGCTCTCGATGTCAATGATTCACGAAAGGTCCGTTCCATGGACGAACGATCAACCGCTAGCAAGAATAGCAATGGCAATGAACAAGACCTGAAGAATGACTTGAGTTTCCTCGAGGATCTTTTGATGTCCGATATACACACGGCCCTTTCCCGTTTAAGAGAAACTCTCGAAAGGATCGACGTTGGCGCGTTAGCAAAACACGGTGCTGCTTCCGATCCAAGTAGTAAACTTCAACTTCTACGGCTAGTGTCGAGTTTACTTTCGCGATTAGAGATGCCACGTGAATCGCAGAAGGAAGAAAAGAAGATTCTTACGCAAGAGGAGAAGCTAAAGTCTTCTCTAATAGCTACAACACCATCCGTAACCAATCGTAGACGACGAGCTAGCAGACATACCATTGGAGTCTCTGCCGAAGAGTTGGCATGTGCTAGGAAATGGTTGCAGGAGGATAAGAATTTTAACGACGTTACGCCGTTTACGAAAATAACACTCTCCCCGTTGTTTTCGACCACGTCTAAAGCTATCGATTCTTCCGAAGAAAAGCCAAGACCCGAAGAGATACATGATAAATATACGAAGGACGCCATCAATCATCGACAATCTCTGCGCGATAGAAATAATATTGACAAAGGTCTGGAAATACGTCCACGTGCTGCTCCTTTCTATGCCGATAAAACGGACTTCGTCGTCACCCAGTCGACGATCGCGTCAAATGAAGTGACTCATCAGTCTCTACGACCTAGTCTCGACTCGAGAAACACATTGGATAACACGGAAGTTGGCAACGTAGAAGTTGGTCGTGTTGGCAGATTGGCTGCGGCTCTTCAGCAACGAGTAGAATCCTCGAGCAAGTGCACTTCTTCCAATCGATTCACTGCGAAAAAGTCGAAGATCAAACGAGCCAATACCATTGACATTCCAAGTTACCTGAAATTACAAGCTGAGAGTTTCAAGCAAGAAGGTAGCGGTTGTGTATCCTTAAAAAAGCCTATAAATGTTAGTGACAAGGCAAACTGTAATTCGATCAATAGCATGATCATACCATCCTTCCAGCCGAGAACTGAAAATGATAGAAAATTCATGGCATTGATTAGCAAGAATAACGATACTCCTATATTCAATCCACCATCATCGTTCAAATCATTTGGCTATACAAAAACGATGGATCCATCATCGGTAAGCAATGAGAACTGGAACAGTCGTTTTTCCAACATCAAAACAGCCTTCGACAAAACGACGACTTCTGGTGATGAGTCTGAACAGCAAATTAACAAGCATAAGCTTCCGAAACGACCACCAATAGTTCCTCAAGGAACTCAACGGTATAATCCTGGAAAGGAGAAACCCTTCAACGCAAATGTCTTTTGTAACTTTGAACACGATACCTCTAATGTTAATCAATCGATCTCTCCTGGCTTCAGACATGCTCCTTCCTCTCCTTTTCGAAGGATCGAAAAGCCAATTGGTATATCGAACTTTGTTAAATCTTCACCGATCTCTACCAATCCTCCTAAAATCAATATACCCATGCCTGGAAATACATTACGTGAGAAAGCAAGAAAGATGTTCGATCGTGGTACCAACAATAGCAACGTTCAGCAACGAGCTTCGGAATACAAAGTTCAAGTAGATGGAAACTCTGAGAAACGTACCTTTCCAAGACCGCCTTGGATTGAACATGAGAAATCATCAAGTGCAACGATCGCAGAAAATGGGCGTCTCGATTATCGTTCATTCTGTAAACAATTTGCACCTTTCGTTAGCAAAGGTACATCCTCGTCAACCTTGGAAAAACCATCCTACGAGCCCGACGATATTCATCAACAAAGTTCGAAATTGTGTCAACCTCGAAATGAATTGGCTGGTGAAACAAATAATCCAAACATAGTGGATGGAAAGATTTCGTTCAAGATGATACCAAAGGATTACAATCGTTATAATATTCAAGGAACTCGTGATTCTCGTGATTTTATACGTAAAACCGAAATTACAGATGGATCTCAACAAGTTGACCTTACTTTACGTGGCAGTGCATCGGTAGCTGTTCAAACTGGTGCTCAGGATGAAAATTTCGATGAGGTTAGATCTTTTCGTGTTGTTCCAAAGATCTCGAACGGGCCACCTTTGATTTATAGCAATGTCTCGATACAAACGTCAAATGATGTATCCTCTAAAATTTCAGAAGATGTTCATACCTTTCTTTCGGATAATCAGAAAAGTCTTGGCGAGGAGAAAAGTCATGAGGATTATCGTTTGCGAGATGAATCGAATTGTGTTTTGCCGGTAAAAGAAAATGTGCCTTTTCACGATTATCGTTCCGATACGATTGTTACGAATCCACGCGTGCAAAATCAGACAGCTTTCGTGAAAGCTTACGAGCCAGTGTCGAAAGTTGAACAAAATGAATACGAATCAGCGAAAGTGAATTATGCTGAAGATGATTTACCTCGATCTAAAGACTACGATTATTTGGATGCTAAAAATATTCAAAATCAAGACATAAGCGAGGAGGAAGGTGTTGTGACGAGATATACATGTGCTATTGCTACAGTGGCGTCGATTGAAAGTCCAGAAATCCAAGGGGAAGTCGTCGAAACATCGTACTCTAGGGATTATTCGACTCCGTCTGTATCACCTGTTCGGTCCAATTCAAGATCGAAAGCAAGTAACGACGAAGAAGTCGACGAAGAAATACGTAGACACAATATGTTGCAACAGAGTTTGATACAACGACTCCATCATGAACGTTGTACGATGATCGATCGTCCATTCAAACAATTACCTATCGATTATCAAAATGAAACACATGGAAATACCAAAAAGGAACAACAATCCTATGAACAAGGTTATTACGTAGCTCCACGAAATAATAACGAATATATACCGATGGAAAATGTTAACAGACTCGAATCGATCTCAACATCTCCTCTATCCAATCAATTTAAACGTATCGGTAATCAACCTAAAGCAAAGAAATTTCTTTCACCGGATTTACCAACGAGACCTCAAGTCACACCGTCCACATCACGGGTTGTCAATCAAGTTTCAGCACTCAGAGAAGTTTATGAACAACCAGTTGTTGTTCCGAACAAACCTATACGTAAGGAAAGATCACCGGTACCAAATGGAACAAATCCAATTGATTCCAGCGACGAATATTTAATGTCTTGTGCCAATCAACCATCTAGATCCATCGTTCTATCAAAATCTGAATCTTGGCATCAATTGGCTCTATCCAACAGTTCTTCTCGTATTCCACGTACAAGCGACTCCAGTCCGTCGTCATCGAAAGTTTCTTGCTTACCTAAACCCCCGAAACCTAGATCACCGTCCTCCATGAAATTTCGAACGAAACAATTCGAGGCATCTTCCGATAGCGTTAAAAAGATGGAGGACAAGATAAGAAGATACTTCGATAGTCCCAATGAAAGTTCAACGAATGAAACAAAAGAATCAAAGAAACGTTCCTCTCCTCGTCACGCTCATGGAAAGTGCATGATCGGTCTATCGAGAAGTCGTACCTTGCCTGGTATCTGCGAACAGAAACTCGTCTTGACGATACCACCGACACAAGTACCTCTCCTACAAGTTAACAGTGCTGACGTTGACAAGGTCTTCGACGATATCTTCCAGGAAGCCACGAGGATGGACAGTCAGCATTGCTGACCGATCAACTTTATCTCTCTCTTTCTCTCTCTCTCTCTTTCTTCTTCCTTTTCTTTCTCTTGCATCGACCACTTGTAATGGGTAGCGGTAGATGCTACGAGTACGCAAGAAATTGAGTTACGATAGAAAGTTCTTCGCGTGCGAATCCGATCCATCGATCAAACACAAGATACAATGTGATTTTTATACTTGTGTTATACTTATTCTTTTATTGTTATACTTGTTATTGTTATTGTTATTGTTATTATTATTGAAAGCATCGTCCATAACGATACCTATGTATATACCAAGTATCACGTAAGACGATGACCGTGTTCATAAGCCAAAGACCGTGTTAATATCGTCGAGTGAGAAATAATTCAAATTGAATTATCATACTTATCCTTGGTTTAAAATACGATCAAAATATAGGGGATGTTGGAAGTGCTTGCCAACCAAAGAAACGTATTCTAGGACGAATTAAATGACGTGACCGTCTACCTCTATGAATTTTCGTCGGAAATAACGAAAAATATTGGAACAATTTATATCGAAATAATCTATGTGGGAATACAGTAAATCTGAAGTTGAAAAAAAATATGATCGATCATCGTCATACATCATCGGTATGCATCAGTCAACGGTTGCCAAATGGGGAAAAAAAAATAGAATTTTCTAGGATTTGGACTTGAAGGACTAAAATTACTTTGGATATCCCATTATGTTACAACCCTAAAGAGATTTCATCGAAAAACATAAGGCAGAGAGTTCGAAGAATACGAGGCAATTCGACTCATATTATTTGGCTAGGAGGCACCGACTTTTGGCAATCATTTCGCAAAAACATAGACGTACATATATGTCTTTTTTTCTCTTTCTCTCTAGCGCATTTAATCGCATGTATGTTTCTACTTCGTCTTTTGGACGTAGCCACGCGTTCTAAGGACACGTTCTAAGTGAACAAACACAAGAAAGAGAGAGAGAGAGAGAGGTAGAGAATCGCTAGAAGGTCGTACAGATCCCCGAATAAAGCAGTGAGTCACAAAACATCTTTCTGTAGCTCCTTTTGTTGCGCCAAATAGTGTTATAGTTTTCTCCACACTACTCTGTACAATGTGTGTGCGACTTTTGTAGATTATATTCGTAGCTGTGTGGCGTCATATAATAGCAGTTGTACAGTTAACATCATCACCACACTCAACTCAATTCGCGTTACCTACGCCAGGATCTTCCTGAACGGGGACATCTGCCGTCGTTGCCAAGCCTCGAAATTATAAATTCCTGTCGCTGCAAATAAACACGTTACACTTCACGGTTTTAGCATGCATCTACATAAATAAGACAATTTATAGTTTACCGTGAATCCTTTTTAACAACGACGATGATCCAATGAAGAACAACACTATCACACGAAAGACAATTGGAAAGCTTGGAGTGAACTTCCTCAAGATCTTGAAAAACCTTTTGTCTCTCTATCTCTATGCCTGGAAAAGCAAGCAAAACCGATGTTGATTGGCCGACACTTGAACTAACTCACAGCTTTAATAGTGATATAACGACATAGTCGAGAACGTTTCAAAATCCATCCCAGTTAACTATAATTATACTCTGAAAGGAAACTTTACTTATTATTTTGAATTAAAAGATTGATACTGACAATTTTTGAATACTTACAAACTAAAGATTTACACTTGCAAGTGTGAATAACTCAATCGTACAGAATTCACCGATAATCACATTTTTTTTTTCAGCCACCAAGAAACCATTATCGCCGTTCGCCAAATTTCGTCAACTCGATCGGCAATATAGTTCTTCTTTGCCGTCAAGGTAATTATCATTGTTCTTGGTCATCCCAACGAAAGAATTATATTCGAATGTAAAAGAAGAGCTCTTATCTCGTTGTCTCTTCTATTATACCCTAAATTCCACTCTATTGTGTCTTCTAATGTTTTGTCTGTCCTTTCCGATCTCCGATCCAGTCCCATAAAGTCGCCAGAAAAGGAGTTTCGTTTTAGATTTACCGAACCTACTGTGACAAATAATGCGGTACAGATAAAGGAACGATTGTTATCTTGGTGTCGTTCCAAAACTAAGGAATATGAGGTAAATAATAAATATCAAGTTTCATATAAATTGTCATTATCAGCCTCATCATTAAAATTAATATGTACATCACTACTTTGCAGAATATACAACTTGACAATTTCTCGACAAGTTGGAACAATGGTTTGGCATTTTGCGCTCTGATTCATCATTTTAGACCTGACGCCTTTGATTATCATTCGTTACGTCCACAGGACCGCAGAAAGAACTTTGATCTGGCATTCAAAACGGCTGAGTGAGATATCGTCTTAATTCCATTATACTCCTAAAACAAATCAAAAATATATTATGTATATTTGTTCACTGTGTTTATATAGTGAAGCCGGTATCGCACCATTGCTCGATGTTGAGGATATGGTAGTTATGCGACGTCCAGATTGGAAGTGCGTCTTCACTTACGTTCAGTCCTTTTATCGGCGTTTCAAGGACGAGGATTGAACGAAAAAGGCTTTAAGATATATATATATATATAGATATTTTTTTCACTATAAATCTTTGGCTCCTAGCAGACCTCGCAAGTTAAATAATTTACATAACGTAATACTTTACGAGTCACTAAGAGATAAAACATAATTAACAATTAGATCTCGTTACAAGAAAAATTAGTAATTTATTTTGTTTTGTTAATTTCTTATTTTTTCAATGAACTTTTTCATTGTAATGTTTCACAAATTTTCACATAGATCTATGAATTATTTTACATAAAAGTGTAACCATCGTGCTAAAGTATAAAGACACGTTGTTACATACTCTTCTACTATTGACTATTATCAATAGAAAAACGTTTTTAAATAATTATAATTTTTTTTTTTTTTTTTTTAATTAAAAAGATATAATTGTTACTAAATAAATTTATAGAAACTATCTTTTAAAGTTTCATATGAGTCGTTACAAACGTTTCATTATTTTTGTGTAAGTAAGAAAATTATTAACTATATAATCACGTGCGACTCAATGAAAAAGTTATATATTTATTTTATTTCACAATATAAAATTGACAAGGTTCTTTGTTATAAATATAATATATACAGAGAGATGAAAAATTAGTACAGTTGGGCAACATAAACGATGTAGGTAAGAATGGCGTAAGTTGTGCTTCTTTAAATTATTTAGAAGATAATGAAAATTATTATAGCTGTTATAACTATTAAACTCTAAACATAAAGTATATATAAATTTATTTAGTCTTAAATCTCTGTTTAAGCTTTCTTCCAATATGGAGATAATGTATAAAACTGATATTTTTATTGCTCTTAAAAATCTAATATAAAATTAAAGAGCACTATCTTCCAAAGAATTGTGTATGTCATTTCTATCATCCTCAATCATTTCCTGTAAATAAAAAATTATGATAAGAGCCAATCATTAACTACTGATTACAATATATTTTGTTATCTTACTTGTAAAACTTCAACTAAAGCCCGTGTTTCATCCAACATTTCTTTACATAAACGATTTTCTTCTTGCAATTTTGATACACGTTCATGTAGTTCTTTGTTTTCTTCTAATGCATCATTAAGAGCTATTCGTCGTCTTTCTGCTAATACTTCCCAATAATTTTCACTTGGACCAGCTATGACAAAAACATAAAAATATAATCAAAACCTATACAACTTCATAATATTATATACATTTATTACAAGAGCAATTCTATATATACCTTCAGAGGTCAAATCTTCTACTTCGATTTTAATTTTTTCTCCCCTGTTTGTTTGAACTGCCTTATGTTTGTAAACAATTTTTTTACGCGTTGTGCAACCTTTTTTTGATTTCTCCGATGTGTTTTTAATATCCCTGAAATACAAAATCGTAACATAATATAAATTCTTAAATGTAAGTTAAATTTATCGCAAATACAATATAAATAAATAAATATGTTTAAATACTTTTTTAGTGCATTTTTTAAGGGTAAATCTGCTTTGAACATTCTTCCAGCACCCACCAGGTTTTCTTTGTCAGTAGCTGCTGGCTGCAAAACGTGCAAAGACATTCTGACCTTAGCCTGTTTCGATAAAACAGAGAAAATTGTGATATACCACCTTTGGTCGGACAAAGGCACGATTAATATAATCTTTTATTAAAATGTACTCTTTTCAATAATTACATTAAAATTTTGTTGATAAACAAACATTCTTTTAAATATTTCTACTAATATTCCTTTATTTAATAATTTAAATAGAATCAACCGTCACATAGGATAAACTTTTATCACATATTGTAAGTTGTTACTCAAAATATTAAACAAAAATTCATTCTTAGACTAATCTATTTCTTTAATTTGTTTCATAAGCAAAAGAATCTAATTTGTGATTAAACCTTTGAACGATATTGATGAAAGAATGAAAAGAAAATAAAATAAAAATATTTACACTAACCTCTGAATTAGTAATTTTGGCGCCAGAAACTTTCGTTTCCCCCGTAGGTTTCATGATACTGATATTTAAAAGTAAAAACAAAATCTGTCTGTACGTAGAGTATAAAATCAATCTTATTACTAAAATATTTTAAATATTAAATGTATAGTTATATTATGAATAGATGAAAGATTAAGATATTTTATAACAGTGGAAATTATAAAACTCTCCAAAACTCATCGAATTATCTTTTATAACCATATGAATTTCCTTGCAAGAAATTATTCACTTAGGAATTGTTCAGGTGACTAAAAAAGAAATTAAATCTACTGGAATCCAAGTTCAAAACATTGTAGCGACATCTATATACAGATGTCGTGCTTCTCGACAGCATTAATAAGCGGCAAATATTATATCCTCAGAGAGGAACATTTAAAAAATAATTACATGTAATTCTGTAGAAAACTAATATTTTTTTATTTCATAATATGAAATTCATTTTAATTATAAATGTATAATATATAAATATTAATGAAAAATTAATAAAGTCGGATAAAGTAAACGATGTAAGTAAAAATGATGTAAGTTGTGCGTCTTCAAATTATTTAAGAATTAATGAAAATAAACATAAATAATTCAAATTGAACTTTAATATTGAACTTTAAATATAAATGCAAATTATTTTAGTCTTAATTCCTGTTTAAACTTTCTTCCAATATTAAGATAATGTATGAAACTAATATTTTTATTACTCATAAACATCTAATATAAAATTATAGAGCACTATCCTCCAAAGAATTATTTATATCATTTCTATCATCTCCAATCATTTCCTGTAAATAAAAAATTATGCATCATCAGAACCAAACATTAACTACTAATTGTAATATATTTTATTACTTATAATACTTCAATATGTTATCTTACTTGTAATACTTCAACCAATGCCCGTGTTTCATCCAACATTTCTTTACATAAACGATTTTCTTCTTGTAACTTTGATACACGTTCATGTAGTTCTTTGTTTTCTTCTAATGCATCATCAAGAGCTATTCGTCGTCTTTCTGCTAATACTTCCCAATAATTCTCACTTGGACCAGCTATAACAAAAAGATGAAAATATAATCAAAATCTATACAACTTCATAATATTATATACATTTATTACAAGAGCAATCCTATATATACCTTCAGAAGTCAAATCTTCTACTTCAATTTTAATCTTTTCTCCTCTCGCTGTTTGAACTGCTTTATGTTTGTAAACGATTTTTTTATGTATTGTGCTTTCTTTTTTTGGTTTCACTGATGTGCTTTTAATATCTCTAAAATATAAGATCTTATAATAATACTTATTCTTGTAAGATAATTTTATTGCATATACAATATAAATAAGTAAATATGTTTAAATACTTTTTTAATCCATCTTTGAGTGTTAAATCTGCTTTGAGCATTCTTCCAGCCCCAACTAGATTTTCTTTGTCCGTAGCTGCTGGCTGTAAATTTTGCAAAGATTCTCTGATCTTCGATTGTTTCTATAAAACGGTGAAAATTATGATATATCACTTCCTTCAATTAAACAAAAATACGATTAAATTATTTTTTTACTAAATATGCTGTTTTCAACAATTATTTTTCTTTAGCATGCTTTAATGTGCAAAAAATTCTTTTAAACATTTCTACCAATATTCATTTATGTAATAATTTATATAAGATTATCTGTTACTTTACGTGTACTTTTATCACATGTTGTATAGATTGAAGAATTATTATGTTAATCCATTTCTAAAATTTCTATTATATAAATAAAATATCTAATTTATGATAAAATTTTTCTACGATACTGTGATTAAATTTTTTTTAGCGATATTTACGAACGAATAAAAAAAAATAAAATACAAATATTTACACTAACCTCTGATGTAGTCATTTTGGCGCCAGAAACTTTTATGTCACATTTGCATATCAATGTTAGAAAGAAAAAAGCGATCTGTTATCTACGTAGAATATATAATCAACTTTATGTTAATAGAATTATATTTTAAATATTAAATTATATATAATTATATTACGGATAAACGATAGATTAAGATATTTTATAATAAATATTTTTCGTACATGTTCATACCTTCCACGCCTTACAATGTTGGCGCAAGTTGTATATAACCCTTCAAGCAATCATAATCCAAATTGTATTCAGATAATAAGCTGATACATGTTAAAAATTATACAATTATTTTTTCATTCACAATTACAACAAAGATAAAATAAATGCTAGAAATAAAAGCTAAATTTATTGTACTCAGAATTTTCAGCTTTTTTTTAAAGCTACGCGAATAATATTTTATAAAAATATTATTGCTATTTGATTCCTCCAGAGTTTATCGTAGGAATGATTCTTATAAAAAAAAGAAAAAACAACAACATTCTTTATGGATAGACAATTTAATCATATATTTTTCTTTCCTTGGCAACTTATTAATACAAGGGCTAATAAGAAATAAATTTTAATATATATCTTTATTGATAAAGTTATACTTTAATAACATATACTTTATTAAATATAAAAATAAAACCTCTATAAACCTATATTTTAACAATAAAATACTTGTACTATATGAACAAAGATGCATGAACAACGACTATCTAATCGTATTCTATTATTCATTTTTTGTTCATTGTATAAAACATTAAGCTTCCACCTTTTATTTTGTATAAAAACATATTTAGTCTTACTTTTGATTTTTGTTAGAATATTTTCTTCTACGTTACAAACGGATTAGTTCTTCATTAAGTCGTTATTAATAATATGATAACTCGAATTTAAGATATTATTATACAATTTAGATTATTTTATACAAAAAAAAAAATTGCCCTAATGTAAAACTGTAAACATGTTATACTTAATCAATATATGACACAGTACAATATGTTACAAGATTAACATTTTCTGTATAAAGATATTTCATGTAACTATTCTCTTCATATAATTACACTGCCGAAAGAATTTGTGCATCCGTTTTTGCTGCAATTTTCCAACACGATCCATACACGTCTCATTTTGACAAAGAGCACAAAATTCAGAAGATATAGCGTGGAATGGCGAACGAAAATATACACCAGCATTTTTTAATGACTTATTTTTGTGATGTGCCCAAACATGTAGAATAACTTCAAAAATCATAAGTAATGCCAGAAACCAACGTGAATATATGATAGCTGGTAGAAACAAACAGATGGGATTTACTTGTCCGAACGATGATCCAATCGGTACAGGTTCCATTTCCATATTATCTAATTTACAACCAGATTTTTTAGGCATCATATTATCCTTCACTTGTTTTGGTATCTGCAATAAATTATATTAATATTTAATTCAAAGATATATATTTGAAAGTAAATTGTAATTTAATAATTCTAAATTATAATAAAAATTGTAATTTAGAAAGTACAATTAATTATACCATATGTCATTAAATTAAGAAAACAAAAAAAAAAAAAAAGAATTATCACCTGAAAAGGTATCTTTCTACTTCTTTGCGTTGCAGTCCTTACGAAATTAACTTCAGGTTCACCAGTTTCAACATTATTCACTGAACCAACAGTATCATGTATTTCTACATTGTCCCGAAAGGATTGTATCAAGCTTTCGCCTGTTTCTTCGTCTATGAAAATTTGCTCCATAGCGTATATACCTTCGACCATTTTGTAAAATCGTTTTACTTGAAGGAAAAAATTAAGAACATACGTAGGAACCTACGAATAAGGTCTCTGAGGTCACTTCCCGGACGTCGCTACACGTTTTTATTCTAATAAGTTTGTTGTTGGTCTGAAATAAAGTTTCTGAAAGCAATCGAAAATGCTAATTAATATTCCCCGTTATTTATTTCAATTTCATTATTAATTAATTATTTATTTTAATTTCATTATTAATTTCAATATTAATTTAATTCATTTATTTATTAAAGAGAAAAAAGAAATTAATTATGGATTCATATCGATCGATTCGAAAAGTTTATGGGAATTAAAAGACGAGTTTGAGTTAAATATTGTGAAACAAAATAAAAAGAATGTATGATGATTAATAATTATATTTATAATGGATAAATAACAAATTTAATAAATAACAAATTGTCAGATAGCATGTAGATATAAATTTTTGGAAAAACTTTTAATTAGAAATAAGAGAGGTTAACACATTGTTGTACGAAAGAAAAGAAAGACAGAGAGAAAAAAAAGGATTGCATCAAGAAACGAGTGAGTCGAACTTTTTTTCTTTTTTTTCTTTTTTTTTCTTTTTTTTTTTTTTTTTAGATATATTTAGACGTGATCCTGGTGTAAATAAGATATGCTTTCGAAACTGGAATCATCGTCGACGGTGTCCGGAAAGCAAGTGCAACATACAAATCCGTATTTTCTGCAGAGAGATGCTATGTAACTGCAAACTATATGAAACATACAACACATTGTTTTTTTTTCTTTTTCTTTTTCTTTTTTTTTTTTTTATAGTTTTATTTTTATCCCTGACTATATTTTAACGTAAGAACACAATAACGAATTTTTAACTTTAACAACCGTGACAACGAATTAAAAACTATCATTTAACCGGCTTCAATTTACAAAAGAAAAAAAAAAAAATCAACTTTCATTTGTTTCTCACCTTTTGATACTCATGAGTTTTCTATCTCGTTTTTTTTACAATTTAAAATAAATAACTAATGTGTTTCCCATCATAACAATTAAGAAACGTATACTATATGTTTTAAAAACTTATTTCCATTGTAGACTTTTAACCATTAATATTTCAATTTATTTTAAATTATCACATTTGTAATACGATTAATACAATTGAATTTATTCCACATGCATTTGAACACAAAACTTTGTATACAATGAAACGATTAAATAAGGTTAATTTATGTTAAAATAATTAATTATCTCTTGACGTTTTTAACTTTTTCACAAATTTATTAAATCTAATTTATTTCCTGGTATTATTTAAAAAAAATATCATGTTTAATCTTTTTTAAATGCGAGATTATTCTGTCTCGTTAGATAACGGAAAATAAAAATATATATAAAAAATTATCGACTACGATAAAAGAAAGATTATAATATTTTACAAAAATGTTAATAGGTTAGATGAATTTTTTAAAATTATTATTATGAAGTTGCTTACGTAAAAAAAAATAAGTATAAATGAAATCCTACAGGAAGTATATATCCGAATTAATCGACAATAAAATATACACTTTCTTCTTGATAAGAGCAACTCATGAAATGTCTGCCATGACTGAAGGTAAGCCATCTACACAAAAAAACGGAATCTATATCATATGAGAATAGCAATTATATAAAAATTCCATATTGTTTAATAATGAAACTATTTATCTTTTTAAATTTCTATCAAAGAGATAATTTTCATTTAAACCTAAGATAAATTATTTCGTATTATAAAATTGTTTATTTGTTACAAATTTAACTTTGACAATTTCATTGTAACCAATCACTTCTTTGATCGGAATATTTTTGACGTATAATGTTTTAACTTTATATAATACTGCCTTATGATTGGTTAAGAAAACAATTCTCAAACTTCTAATTTTCACGGTACTGAGAGATGTTACATAAATATAATAAAAAGATAGAGATATTAAAAAAAAAAAAAAAAAAAAAAAAGAGTAAAATTTATGTCTTTCTGCGATAGAGGATGAAATAATTTTGTCTTAATTAAACATAACTTACTCCATTTTTGCTTACATCGTTTACTTTATCCGACTTTATTAATTTTTCATTAATATTTATATATTATACATTTATAATTAAAATGGATTTCATATTATGAAATAAAAAAATATTAGTTTTCTACAGAATTACATGTAATTATTTTTTAAATGTTCCTCTCTGAGGATATAATATTTGCCGCTTATTAATGCTGTCGAGAAGCACGACATCTGTATATAGATGTCGCTACAATGTTTTGAACTTGGATTCCAGTAGATTTAATTTCTTTTTTAGTCACCTGAACAATTCCTAAGTGAATAATTTCTTGCAAGGAAATTCATATGGTTATAAAAGATAATTCGATGAGTTTTGGAGAGTTTTATAATTTCCACTGTTATAAAATATCTTAATCTTTCATCTATTCATAATATAACTATACATTTAATATTTAAAATATTTTAGTAATAAGATTGATTTTATACTCTACGTACAGACAGATTTTGTTTTTACTTTTAAATATCAGTATCATGAAACCTACGGGGGAAACGAAAGTTTCTGGCGCCAAAATTACTAATTCAGAGGTTAGTGTAAATATTTTTATTTTATTTTCTTTTCATTCTTTCATCAATATCGTTCAAAGGTTTAACCACAAATTAGATTCTTTTGCTTATGAAACAAATTAAAGAAATAGATTAGTCTAAGAATGAATTTTTGTTTAATATTTTGAGTAACAACTTACAATATGTGATAAAAGTTTATCCTATGTGACGGTTGATTCTATTTAAATTATTAAATAAAGGAATATTAGTAGAAATATTTAAAAGAATGTTTGTTTATCAACAAAATTTTAATGTAATTATTGAAAAGAATACATTTTAATAAAAGATTATATTAATCGTGCCTTTGTTCGATCAAAGGTGGTATATCACAATTTTCTCTGTTTTATCGAAACAGGCTAAGGTCAGAAAGTATTTGCACGTTTTGCAGCCAGCAGCTACTAATAAAGAGAACCTGGTAGGTCCTGGAAGACCGTTCAACGATGCAATAAAGAAGTATTCAAACATATTTACTTATTTATATTGTAAATGTGATAAATTTATCTTATCAAGAATTAATATGATGTTACGATTTTATATTTCAGGGATATTAAAAACACATTGGAAAAACAAAAAAAAGAAAGCACATGTAAAAAAATCGATTACAAACATAAGGCAATTCAAACAGACAGGGAAGAAAAGATTAAAATTGAAGTAGATGATTTGACCTCCGAAGGTATATATAGAATTGCTCTTGTAATAAATGTATATAATATTATGAAGTTGTATAGGTTTTGATTATATTTTCATCTTTTTGTTATAGCTGGTCCAAGTGAGAATTATTGGGAAGTATTAGCAGAAAGACGACGAATAGCTCTTGATGATGCATTAGAAGAAAACAAAGAACTACATGAACGTGTATCAAAATTGCAAGAAGAGAATCGTTTATGTAAAGAAATGTTGGATGAAACACGGGCTTTAGTTGAAGTTTTACAAGTAAGATAACAAAATATATTGTAATCAGTAGTTAATGATTGGCTCTTATCATAATTGTTTATTTACAGGAAATGATTGAGGATGACAGAAATGACATACACAATTCTTTGGAAGATAGTGCTCTTTAATTTTATATTAGATATTTAAAAGTATTAAAAATGTCAATTGTGTATATTATCTCCATATTGGTGGAAAGCTTAAACAGAGATTTAAGACTAAACAAATTTTTATATATTTTATATTTAGGAGTTTCGATTTTTTTATTGTATGTCAGCCAATAATCGAACATTAGAAAAATACAATGTAAATATAAATATTATGAGAAACGTTGAGATAATTTTGAAGATATATCTTTGATTGTAGTATGGAACGATTAATTGATTGTGCATATCTATACATAATTAAATATTATGCATCGAAGAAAATTATATGTGTAAGTAAATGATGAGACTAAAAAATATCTTCTTTTCTAAAAGATATTTTATATAACAAAATTTATATAACTATCTTTTATTTTTTTTCTTCCTTAGGTGAGTTTGTCTTTTGTTCCGTTTGTTCCTGTTTCGATGCTAAAAATTGTGCCAAATGAAGTATCGACACAATGTTAGACATATATTCTGTCACGTCTTCTTTTTTAATAGTTTTCAATTGTGCTACGACCGAATGATAAACGCGATGGGCAGTTTTTGTAGACAATTGTCCAATCGTTTGTACGGTGTGCAAGACCTTATTCTCATCAGCAGAGATTGGATCTATAACATATAAATGGATAATGATAAAAAAAAAAAATTAATGTTCTAATTCTTTTATAATTAATAGTAAAAAATTAATAACATACTTGGCACAGTCTCTTCTCCATCGACAGCAGGGAAATAATGGTCTAACAAACGATTGATAAGAACACTGGTATTATCTACACCTTGAACAGCTATACTACCATACTGAGTATTCAATAATTCGTTCGTTTTTGCTATGCTTATTTCTTTGAGCGTTGAAGCATGTTGAGTTGCTGAAGCCTTTGCGGAATGAAGTTTCTCTATCGTGGGATGAAGGGAACTGCACATTACAGCTTTAGCGGCGTCATAAATCTAACAAACAAATTATCAATTATTTTATTTATTTATCGTTCATGAATAATTTACATATGTCTATATAGATTGTCATTATCAAAACTCGAAATTCATACAAACCTGTTGCGGTGGTTTCTTAACAATCGGAACTTTCTTTTCAACGATGTCAAGTCCTTCACAGAGTTTCTGATCAACGGCATTTATTTGTCCTTCAAATTTCTTCGCCAATGGCGCTGCGATTGGTACCGCGGTTGCAGTAGCATAATTAAGTCCAACCTCGGCGTAATTCAGTGCCCAGTTTATTAAATGATGAGAATCTTTTAGATAAGAATACGTCGATCCTGTCTTCTCCATAGCCGTATGAATAACGGGAATATTTTTTACACGATTTAATACCTCCAATTGTGGACCATTTTCTTGCTTAATTTCCGCCATTCTTGATTTATTCTCTTTTTAAGCTGTTAAACAAGAGAGACCTTTTGTAATGTCATTAATATCATTAATATCATTAATTTTAACATAAATACATTAAGTTTTATTACGTCATCGCATACATATAATTGTTTTAACTGGTTTATGAAAATTTATTAAAATGTTTTTATTAAATTTATTAAATGTTTTTATGTATGTATATACATATATATGTATGTATGTTTATAATTTTTCACTCTATCATCGATATTTTCGCATAATTGATTTGTTCATTATAGTTACGTCAGATCTTGAATGAAATTATATTTTGACCTATGTAACTCATCGTACTTATTTTAGAAGGTCGTAAAGATGTCCTTGAGTATTTATTTTAATGACTATGTGATTATCTAAATAATCAGACAAATTTATATTGAACATATATATACACATATTAACTTGTATACGATTCGTCTAATGTTTCCTTTCAATTTTTTTTTCTTTTTTTTTTATTATTCAAATTAATTAACATATATCTTGTCTCACGCGTCTGACTTTTTTTTACGTTTCGTTCGTTTATACACTTTCTTGATCAATGCAAATTAAGAAAAAAAAAAAAAAAAAAAAAAAAAATTATTAACGACTTATGTAAATGATGTTATCATTGTTTCATAAGAGTAGATTTCCAAGATTTTTTTTATTATTTACATTTTAAAACGAACGTCTTCTAATCGTTGACCTAATATTATCGAGATACCCTTCCATAGGAATATTTTTATCTAAACACTTAGTCTAATTTTATTGAACTATTTCTATTGTGACACGGATATACACTCTTGAGAATGAAAAAAAAAAGAGAGAGAAAGAGAATGAGCGATCGAATGTTCGATCGATCGGTCAACGTTAAAAAAAAAAAAAAAAAAAAAAAAAAAATGAGAGAAATACCTCAAAGAGAAAAGGAGAAACTCGTATCGTCGTCAATAATAATTCAATACAACGTCACATCAGAAAGTATTTTCTTTTACTCTCTATTAATTATATCTGAAAATAGACTAAATCCTCTATCCATTCTTTTTTTTTTTTTTTTAATAATTATTAAATCGATTCAATTAATAGAAAGTTAAAAAAAAAAAGAATGATATATATATATATATATATATGCTTAATAGAGTGATTTATAAATGAATGAATGAATGAATTAAAAATAAGAAAAAATAATAATTGGAAGGTCGTTCATAAGACGAGTTCTATTTTCAATTGGATTACATCGTTAATCGATAAATCGATTCTTTAATGATCCTTTGTTTTTTTTTTTTGTATATAAACTACAACATAATGAGAATGCATTTATTTTCTGGTTTTTTTTTTCTTGCTTTCTCCTCCTAACAATTTTTTTTTTTTAAGAGAGGATGCAACACGATCGTCTCTTCCTAAAAAGAGAATCGCGAATTTAACTCGATAAGCTTCGATCACGTAAGTATGTAAAACTTTTATCGATATTAAAAGGAAATTGTATGAAAAAGAAATTAAAAAAAAAGAATTAACAGAACAAGAGAAGAATAAACTATAAAAGAAAGTATATAGAAAAGACTTGTGAAGTATGCGATAATATATATATATATATATATATACAGCGAAACAGTCGAATTATAAACTGTGTACGTGCACATATTCACGTATATATTCTTTTTACAAACTTTGACCGTGACAGAAATACGCGTTAATTTTCTTTCTCTCTCTCTTTCTATCTCTCTTTATTTATCTATCTATCTATCTCTGTCTCTATCATATCTAACAAAGTATAATATTATTTAACAAATGGATTATTTTATTTTCAAAAGTATACTTACAATAAAACACGATTTAAAATGACTTTAAGTTGTCGAACTAACACCAATTACGTTCTACTTCGTATTAAGAGATACTGAACGTTATTATTGCCGGCTTATGTGAATGTCTATCTCCTATATAATATCTTTTCGTTGGTCAGCGAGGAAGAGGAAATACCAATAAGCGACGAGGAAATAAAAACGTTGTTGACTTGATGAAATGTCCGACGGTGGGAAGGTAAAGTGACAAAGTACAATGCAGCGCCATCTTAAACAACGTATCGATTGAAATAAGTACCCTCGTTCTTACTATCATTCCATTTCTTTCTTTGTACATTTATTTTAATATTTCCATTCTAAATTAATAGTTTCATATATAATGAACGCTTTATAAGTCTGTATAGAAGAAAAATAATAATAATTATATATATCAAATTTTCAATATATGACTTTTTTTTTTATTGGTGGTACGATGAATTATAAGTACGGCCCTGTTATTCTTACATTGCGTAGTATAAAAGTACGTCTTGTTGATTTCATGACGTGGAGGTTAAAACGTTGGCACTTGTTGCTGATGAATTACGTGTTGATTTGTAATAGACGGTACTTTAAATTGTACTATGCTCTCATGATAAATAATATTTTGCGAATCAGATTTAGCGGGAAAATATGAGTCACGATGAAATGCAAGTCTAGTATATCATTGCGTTATATTTTTGTATTATTTACCTTGAACTATCGTAGACTATATAAATCGATTTTAAAAGATGATAAAAATATGATAAAAATCAATGTATATAAGTATAAAAAGTCTTTTTATTTGTGCTGATATATATATATGAATTATTATTATTATCATTATAAAATATGTTATATTTATATTTTTCTTAATCTAGTTTTATAATATTATTTAAGAAATGTAGATTTTATTTTAAAACGTATTTTATAAAGAAGAAGATTTTATGAGTAATCTGATTGAAATTCATATATCTAAGATAACGAAAATCAACAATGCAGGGAAGCCTGATAGACTTTAATGTTGTCATTCGAATATAATATTCAAAGGTTGAAATGCTTCTCTCCGAGTTATCTCTGTTTATCAATTACATATATAGATTTGTAAGCTATTATTCTTCTTTTAATATCACATATGGAATAGATAAACAAATATGAACTTTGGATTAGAAATTTGAAATATATTACGAAAGGATTTGAAATGCAGACGACAATATGATATAAATAGAAATTTCAAGATCGTTTTTCAAGAATACGATTTATATTAATCTACTTATATTTTTCTTTTCTTTTCTTTTTTTTTTTTTTTTTTTTTTTTTCTTACGAACAATATTTTTACTTTATTGAGAGAAATACGTTTGATTAAATGATATTAATTATATAATTGAAATATAATGAATTATGATAAAAAAAAATGCTTATAAAGATAAAATAATGTAAATTATTAGAAATTATTTTGAATTCGAGTTTTGGTTATTTGACGTTTGATTGTTAACGTTCTCGCCTTTACGAGGACTAGTTAACTCGACAACTTTTTCATTGATCGCATTTATGTATTGTGTAAGTTGTAAAAATTCCAAGAGAAAAGCGATATATCTTCTTAGATTATCCTTGTTAAGAGTTTTCGTACGATGAATGATATTTATATAGACGCGTCGAGCTGCTTTATTGGATAAACGGCCGACGGTTTGTAAACTATGAAGGAGTTTGTCCTCTTCCTCTGTTTTCATAGTAGAATCTGTTAAGTGAAAGTTCACGTTATTTCCATTGCTTATTGCTTTCAACCTTTCTCTTTGACTCTTTCCTATTTAATTTTTTTATTCCGTATTTATTTTATTTCTACTTTCTCGCATATAATTACTCACCAGTATGATCTTCTTCTTCAATGGCAGGAAAATATGCATCTATCAAATTGTCCATGACTATCGCGGTATTGTCCAATCTTTTTACGGCCGCTGTACCATAATGAGTTTCCAAAATTTGATTCGCTTTGTTCCAGCTTAGATCTCTCAGATTTGTAGCTTGTTCTATTAATGCGTCGTTCACATGATAAATCGTTGAAACTGCTGGTTGAACTTTCTTTACGGCTAGACCGTAGGCATTCGCTAAAATCTAAAAAAAAAAAAAAAAAAAAGAAAAAAAAAAGAAAAAGAAAAAAAGAGGTAAAGATAATTTCGAAGGAGAGAATATTTTTTTTTTTTTTCGATGGGAGAAAATATATTTGCTTTATATGTAAGTTCTTCCTGTTACGTTCTCACGAAGCAAAGATCGATTTACCTACCTGCTCGGGTTTCTCCTTCACCAATGGTACTCTTTCTTCGATTTTGTCGAGACCGAGGCAGAGCGTGTGGTCGACAAAATGAATAGGATTCTCGAGTTTCTTAGCTAGGGGAGTGGCTATGGGTACAGCATGTCTGGTAGCACTCTCGAAAGAACTTTCAGCTGTTGTTAGAGCCCAATGTACCAACCAATGTGAACCTTTCAACTTAGTATAAGTTTCTACCGATTTTGTTAAAGCCATTTCAATCATCGGAAGCTCGAGAACACGATGGAAAACTTCGAAGTGAGGTAGCTGTGGAGCTTCTATAGCCATTTTTATTTCGACGAAAAATTTCTGAGAAAAAATTTTTGAAAATATTATTCGTATAAATTAATATAATAAGTGAATAATTCTTTGACACTGATAAAATCTATCATCAACCTACATATATATATATACCTATATCTTATTTTTTGTCTTTGATCTTATCATCTGATACAATTTATTTCTTATCTTCGATTAAGTTTAGAATACATTAAATGTAACACAAAGTTTTAATTCTACAGATAACTATATATATATATATATATATATATATATATATATATATATATATATAACAATAATAATCCTCGAAATTATTATATACGAGGTGTTTATATTTCTCAAGTACGTTTGTGTTGAATATATATATTTATATATATATATATATTTTTTTTTTTTTTTTATTAGCTAAATACATATTATACGAACAAGATTCAAATGTAACGTTTAGAAAGTATTTAATTTTTCTTGTATCTTTCTATGAGAATATAATACAAAATTAAAATCAGTCATGTTTCTTGTTGCGACAAGCGTTGATGAGGTCAACGGAATGAAATTCCATGCATCGTTCACTGGAGATACGTGAACGCTATGCTTCTTCCTACTTTCTCGAACGAAAACGACCCTTCTATAATAGATAAAAGCGTCTCGCGATAGTCTAGAAATATCTTTCTAGCGTGCGTCGGTGCATTTTAAATGAGGAAACTTCGTTATCCACAGCGATCTCACCAAGTTTAAATTCTTTCATAATGTATTTAAAAGATTTTAAAAAGATAATTTAAATATAAAAGAAATATGTTTGTTAATTCTCATATGGAAATTAAATGTAAATTTTTAAACATATCAATATATAACAAATATATATATATATATATATATATATATATATATATATATGTATATATGTATTATATATATAATACACTTACGTATTAAAATTAGAATAAACCCATTCTTAAACAAAGGTATAACATATATATATATATCACAATTTATGTTCCCTATTAATGTTCTTTCCTTATAAAAATTGTTAAAGATTCTAGAATTCAATGTTGGCGAAGTAAAAAAATAAGAAGAATTGTTAAATAAATTGTATACTTACGTATTCGATAACAATTCCTCTTGAATTTCAAAGGTTACTTGAGTTTACAGGAACAACGAACGAAAATACGTCCTCCCTTTGTGGTAGATGACACGCGTCTGATGCGTTACCTTCCACGAACTCGTAAAGCAACGTATTGCGCATGCGCGATAGAAATGCATGGCGGCTTTCGTTTCATTCACGCATAGGGAATTTTCAATCTCGTTTTAAATAAACATTTATATATTCTTAAATAGTAACATACTTTTCAATGACGATTCGTATACTTTATAGATACATTTATTTTTCACCAATAATAATAACATCGAATTACAGTAGAACCAATACAGGTAATTAGACGTTCGACTCTTATATTTACGATTATTGTTAAAAACGGTGAAATTGACGATCCTTCCTTATTTAACGTTAACATATTTAACACGCCTTAATTGTAATATCCCGAATCATTATACAATACGTAGATATATGTATATGAAAAGAAGAAGAACAAACAAAAATATATTAAGACGAAAGGAAAATGAAAAAGAAAAGAAAAATAAAGTGCGAGATTAATGTGATAATATATATCTCATTCCCCCTTTTTTCCTCTCTCTCTCTCTCTCTTTCTTCTTCTTTCTATCTCATTCTCTCTAAACGTTATAGATATGTACTTTTATCATAAGAACGGAGTTAGTAAAAATAATGAGTTGTATCTTGGAAATTTTCTCGAATAAGTAAAATCAATATTTTTGTTCTCCTTCTTCTTCCTTTTTTTCCCTCATTCCTTTACACATTATCAATTAAGAACGTTTACCGGTTACACGACGACGCGAAGAAGAAGAAGAAGAAGGTGACAATGCCGATGACAATGATGTTGTTGTTGATGATGATGATGATGATGATGATGACGATGACGATGAAGAAACAGCAGTAGAAGTCGTAATATTTCTATGTGCCATTGACCTTGGCGCGTAATCGAGAAGCTTTCCGTCGGTAGGGGAAAGAAACCCACCCGAGACAGTTTCCAGGCTTTGCTTTGTTACTCGATACCGTTTATCGGTGGATCGGAAATCATCGATGTGTGGTTGTTGTGGTTCTGTTGTAGATCCTGCATTCGACGCATCTTTAATGACGTTGTTGTCGTCGTCATTGTCGTCCCGGTGCCTGTTATCATTGTTGTATTTTCTGTCCCTGTCCTTGTTCCTGTCGAGTTCATTGATGCTGTCGTTGTTGTAGTCACCGTGTCCCGTATGTTGGGAGGATCGACGAGTATTGCCGCTAATTGTTCCTGAAGAAAAATCGCTCGCAGAATAAGTGAGTTGATTTTTTTTTTCTAAATGAATTCGATCTGATCGTTTAATAAAGAAAAAAGTATTCCCGTATTATTTTTCTTCATTTAATTAATATATTATATTGAAGGTGTTCTTAATTAAACACAAAAAACTTGAAATATCTTTGTTGTTTTGGAAGACATGAAAAAGTATGAAAGAAAAAACAAAAAAAAGAAGAAATTTGTTATTTGTTAATAGTTACTTGTTACATTAATGAATGAGTTACAATGTGATTGAAAATGTAAAAAAAAAGTTATCATCGTCACGGCAGAATTACTCTTTTTCCATTTTATTTATTTCTTTTTCTTTTTTTTTTCTCTTTTCTTTTTTTCAGAGTTAACACGTTGAGATGGGAAAGATTGCAACAGGGTTTTACCATTCGATTCTTTATTTCGATCAAAAGAAAAAAAAAAAAAAATAAAAAAATAAAAAAATAAAAAAAAAATATATATATATATAACGTTAACAAAACAGCAATATTATCTATATATTAAGTATAATAAATTTCGTTGAAATAATTAAAAGAATAAAAAGAAAATTAAAACAAATGTCGTTGAAAGAACCGTGCCGATAATTCTCTTCTTTTTTATACATAATAAACACATTCTCGTTCGGTATCTTCGGTCTCCAGTGGGTGAAAAAGGATGAAAAAAGAAAGGAAAGGAAGGAAAAAGGTAAAGAAGAGATAAAATCAAATCATTCCAAGGATTCATGCGAGCAACGACGGACTGTCCTCGTGCTAAGACGTCGTCGAGCCCGTCGTCGTCCTCGTCTTCGTCGCCGACGTCGGACCGAGTACTTACGCACCAGCAACCTACTCGTATTCGTTCCGAGTTTCCGTACCACAGAACGGATCGTCACGGACATCTGCTTCGTCTTCGCTGTCTCTCCCTTTTCGATTATAGATACCGCCTACGCATCAAAATCAAATCCTTTGCCAATTCTCTCTATCTCATTTCGTAATCATCAATTCATCATTATATTTTTTTATTTTTATTTCTTTTTTTTTCTTTAATTTTTTTTTTTTTTTTTTTTAATTTTTCTATTATCTTAAGAAGGACCGAGTCAATAGGAGAGAGATATTATGTATATAATATTAAAATTATATATGCACGTATCTATTATTATTCGTTAGGGTGGTTTCAGGTCGACCTGAATCTCTTTTTTTTTTTTTTTTTTTTTTAAAGGAAAAAGAAAAAGTATTCCATTAATTTGACCAAGATCCATTGATATACAAATCAGAATCGTCATCCATATTATATATTGTCGCTTCAAAATTTCGTTCTATGTTGTAACTTTTATGCATCGCATAGGTGATATAATATTTGATACGAAAGAGACTGTAATCGATGATAAAGAAAGGAAAGAAAAGAGAGCTCAAATCGACCTCGAACCATTTTCGAAATCGGCTAATTTCGGATCTAAGATTCGGAGATTCGACCTTCAAAGTGGCATCCGTTAGCGTCAGTAAACGTCGAGAGATCCTGATGAGAAGTTTGCCAATCCATCGTGGGGTTTTAGCGGCTAAAGATGTTGCACCATTTACGAGATGAACTATGCGTCTTGCTGATTCTCTTGTCAATAGGACGAGCAATTGTTCCAAGCTTGCTGGACGTGCTTGATTCTCGGGTTCGGGTAGGCTCAATATGGTCCATAATTCTTTAGCTTTCTGCAAAGCTAATTTTGGATCCGTTGCAAGCTAAAAAAAAGAAACAAAATTATTTATATTTTAATGAATATTATGATTTATGATTTTACAAATAGAAAAGAGCTTACCAATTCTATTACATAGAAAAATACGTGAATGCATTCGGTTCCTTGATCTTTGAGAGCTCGAGCCTCAGCCAGTGTACGACGTGTCAATCTCCTTTGTAATTTTATTGAAAATCTTGCACCGTGTTTAATCGTACGAGTCGTCTTGCTGACAGGTTCGTTCGTATCAACTTCTGTAACGTAAGAAGAAAATAATAATAAAAAAAAAAAAAGAATAAAAAAAAGAAAATAAAAAGAATTAAATTCTTTAACTGTCGGATTTGAATTATTAATATTTTATACTTTTGTATAATATATTAAAATTATTCCGTTATAATTTTAATACATTAATATATTAATTCCGGAATTTATTTATCAATTCAATATATTGGAAATATACTTAAGAAAATACATTGGATAAAAATATATTGATAAAAATATATTGATATAAATTTCTTAAATAATACGTATAGGGTAAAAAGAAATAATACCATCGATTGTTTTATCAGCTGGGTCACCAGGTAAATATCGATCAACGTATTGATCTGCAACAGTTAAAGCACCGTCCAATGTGTCGACTGCAATACTGGCAGCGTGACTTCCAATTTGCTTCATGCTACCAGCACGCATTAGAACCGGTCTTAAAATTTTATTTGCTACGTATTCTCGAGTATTCCAATACATCTATATGACAAAAAAGAAATGAATAAAATAATAATATCATTAGACATGCATAAAGAGTATAAAATGATTGACAAATCTTAAGAAAAATTGTTAATTGATCACCTGTTGAGGAGGAATATGTACCGCCGGTACTCTGTGCTCAACAATATCGATCCCTTTACAAAGTAGCTGATCGATCGTCATAATTGGTCCATTAAAAGTATAGATCGCTGGTTTAGCCGAAGCTGCTGCCAGTGCCAAAGATTGTTCCGCTGCATCGAGACTCCAATTCATCAGATAATTCGAACTCTAAATACAATTTTATTATTTTTTTTTTTTTCATCATACTATTACTATTACAATTAAGAGAATATTTATTAAAGAAAACAAAAAGAAAAGCCGAGTAATGATTACAAAAGTGAGTCAGAATTATTAAAAAGTTGCTATGCGATCGTTTAATATCATTTTAATAATAAAAAAAGACTAATTATCTATATAAAAACACTTTCGCAATCATCAATTGCTCAAAATTCTTCGAAGATGACGTAATTGTCAATCGAAGAAAAAAGTGATAAATCGATGGTACCTTTATTCTTTTGTAAACATGTCCAGCAATGTGTATACTACTTTCGACGATTGGTAGACTCGATAGTTTCGTTATCGATTCAAATTGCGGTAGATCCGAATGGACCCTTTTCGCGTTGGTTCGTGCCATCTGTGATCGTCGCTAAGAAAAAAAAAAAAAAAAGAAACGAAAGTATATTTTTGCAAAAGAAAATGTTCTACCTTAGATGATATATATACTTCATGTATGTACAGATACATATGTATGAAATTTGAATAATCTCATGTTAAAGAAATGTCATCTGAAAAAAAAGAGAAAGAGAGAGAGAGAGGGAAAGAGAGAGAGAGAGAGAGAGAGAGAGAGAGAGAGAGAGAGAGAGAAAGAGAAAGTGGAACAAATAGAAATGACGTCTCACGATAAAGAGCAATGACATTTCTCTCTTCTGTCTTATCGATCAGTAACATCGTTGTTATTACGATCCATGACGATCGTGAAAGTCGAATGAGACGAAAGACAGAGTGCATCGATTTTTTTGACAATTTTATGCCTGTATGCGAAATTTTTATTCAATTATCGTAAGAAGAGAGAGAGAGAGAGAGAGAGAAATGAGAAAAATTTGTCTCGTGATTAAGTCATGATCGAAAGACCCGAAGCGTCTTATCGAATTTATCCAAGATCATCGAAATCATTTTAACCTTTTGTAGAATATGGAGATGATGATTTCAATGTATATATTCCTATCTTTCACCTCTTTTATAAAATTAAATGATCGCAAGTTCGATATAAAAAGAATCTTGTTTTATTCGTACGATCTTTTTCTTTTTTTCTTTTTTCTTTTTTTTATCGGTTAATTTTTCTAGATAAAGTACGATTGAAAGAAAGGAGAAATATTGAAAGGATTGCACATAGAAATGAGCGCCACTTTAATTAACGATTAAGTTAGCGTCACTTCGTTGGATACGCAAGCGCGAGAAAGTAATAATAACACGAAACAGATAACAGAGAAAAGTGAGAACGAACGAGAAAATAATTAAGAATAAGCCGGACAAGATAACGTGAAAGAAAACAAGAGAAGAAGAAGAAGAAGAGAGAGAGAGAGTAAGAGAGAGAGAGAGAGAGAGAGAGAGAGAGAGAGAGAAAGAGAGAGAGTGAACAGACCGAAAGAAGTATATATATATATATATATATATATATATATATATATATATATTTATCTATTTATATAAATAGATAAATATCGTCTTCGAAAATCTTCAGGGTTTTAATGCACGTAATTTTCCAATAACAAATCGATCGACATTTCTAATTCTTTCCAAATTATTCTTTTATTTTTCTAACTATTTTAATTTTAATCTATTTAAGAGTATCCTCAAAAGGATTTTCTCAAAAATAAAAGAAGGAAATAAAGTAATTTCATTCGAAGAGAATACGATATGATCGAAGTCGATTTATCGTTGCCATGTCACCTATTGCTCGTAAATCTTCTTTGTTTTCTAAGATCTTTCGTGACGGATAAATGATCGCTTTCAGAGTCTACTAATGATTCAACATCTTTCATTGAAACGATAAGATCTAGATTCTTTATTCCTTTTATTTACAGAAAAGATATTGATATTTGTTATTTATCGATCAATCGTAAATATTTATAAATTTATCCATCCATCTATTTTTATTTTACTACTATTTTATCACCTATACACACACATATATATATATATATATATATATATATATATATATACATACATACATATTATTTCTTCGTACACACGTGTGTACGAAAATGTCAATTTCTCTGTTTCTGTTTTTTATTCATTCTCCTATCTTCAATACATACACACCCACATACACGTGCGCGCGCGCGCGAGTATATACACACGCGTACATGCACGCACACATATGTAAATATGCACGGACGATCATGATCATACATATGGAACGATTCCGATAGAGTATTGCAGAAATATCACGATCTTTACGTACCTCGGTAATCCGTACCTTTAAATTTTCGTCGACGATACAAACGCAGCCGATTACGCGTCGCCGGTTTGGATCCGACACAAGTGACACAGAATTAAAAGTCCGGTGTTTCGCCTGAGAAGGCGTCGTTGACTGCACGTCGAGAACTGCGAAACGGTATCTCTTAAGTTTGACCTATGACACATTGCCGATTACGTGCGGCCCGCGGAATGGCAACAGTAATGGCGCATCGCGAAAGAATCATCTTTTCTCTTTCTTTCTTATTCATTTTTATCCTCCTTCTCTATTTTTAATTCTTTCTCTTCCATCCATCGATTTTCGTTACATTTCTTTTCTAAATAGGATGAGATCGTTTAATTGGACTTCTTATACGTTCTCCATCGAAAAAGGGAAAATGAGAAGGGATAAATGGAAAAAAGGTATAATTATATAATCATCCAATTAATCCTTTATAATGACATATAATATTTTTTTTAAATCGAATACATATCTGTATTTTTGAAATCTTATTTTTCATTTTTATTTGATATTGACAAATTAACGTTATACGTGGTATAGCATAATTGTATTATAAATTATACATTATATAATATTTATTTTTAGGCATGAAAAAAAAAACAAAAAAAAAAAGAAAAAAGAAAAAAGAAAAGAAAAAGAAGGAAAAGAAGAAGAATTGTGTTATAAAGAGTTAACGTTATACTTTGATAGATTGATCGACAGGACCGAGTTAATGTTCGAAGTCTAGCCTCGTTAATTAAGTATCTAAGATATTGACAAAAGAAAATCATTAATTTATCGATTAACTAATTGGCAAATTTTCACAACTGTCTCGTTCTAAGTAAATCGATCGTATCTATTTAAAAAAGTTTTTTAATGAGCTAGATCGTCTACTTTTGATTACTTCTCCTCCTATTATCATCCTCTAAAGGATTCTCTCTCTTTCTCTCTCTCTCTCTCTCTCTCTCTCTCTCTCTCTTCCCCTCTCTTTCCCTCTCACTACCAAGAAAGAAAAAGGAAAAGAAATTACGAGCGGAAAAGTCGAATTTATCTCTGGCAGACGTTCGTAATTATGTTCAAAGTCCAGATCGTGTCGAAGCTTTAATGTTTGGGCTTTATACGGGAAACGTTGGAGATTTAATCTTTGAGTTGTATGCTCGCGCGAGCACAGTAAGTTAGTAATTGAGACTGATGCATGCGCATATATATACATTACACATATATATGTACTATATAAGTTTCTCGCGTAAACGATATACATGTGCACGCATATGTTTTAAGGCGATTTCTCAGTTTCTACATTTCCACGAGATCCGATTGTCTCATATCGAGGTCTCGCATGTGTCGAGAGAAAGAGAAAGAGATGAGAGAAAAAGAGAATTGCACCAATGACTTCTCTTTCTCCTACTCTTCATCATTTTCATTCGTTATTTCTTATTTGTTTCGTCTCGAGTTCACGTCTGTGTTATGAAACAATCGCCCCTCGAAGATTCTCTTTCTCTCTTTCTCTCTCTCTCTCTTTCTTTTTCTTCCTCTCATTTTTTTGTCTATTATTTTTCTTTCTCTTTCTTTTTTTTTTTCCGATATCAAGGTCCACTTTTATATCTCCTGCCTCTTCTCTCTCGATCGTAACGAGACTTTATGCCATTTTTATATGTAACATCGAATGAACAAAACGAATCATGACGCGATGAAGGAAAGTTTCAAAGAAAATTGATCCATTTAGAAAGAAACGACGTTATTTGTCGAATTTATTTGGACGTTCAGTGTAAGAAATCTTTCGATTTTTTTCTTGTTTGTTTTCTTTCTTTTTTCTTTTTTTATTTATTTATTTATTTTTTTTTTTCATAATTTTCTTTATAAAAATATTGTTCTGAATTTAATTCAAGCATCCATTTTTAAACATATTTTTAAAAGTATTTTAAACATATTTTATGTTTAATTTATTTTTTACATATTGTTAGACATATCTATGTTAAAAGTAAAATAAAATAAAGCAGAAGGTATTGATTTTAAATATATATTAATCGTAAAAGAAAATATTTAAAGGGTTAAATAAATTTAGGATGAGAGATATTCATCAATACAAATCAGCGATGTGTTTGTGTAAGTCATTTTGTAAGTCATTTTGTAACAGATTATTAATAATAACAATATTTATATGAAAACATGTTTATAAAATCTAATATATATATATATATATAACTAATGTTTCTATAAACTAAGCTTGAACTTTTCTATCGAAGGGGATAACAACAGATAATGTTAATTAACTTCTTAATTATCGATGATCATCGATTAATTCCAATCATTGATATTAAGTAGCTTTAAGCATTATAAAGTCAGTCCAAATAAAAGAAAAAAAAAAAAAAAAAAAAAAAAAAAAAGAAGTAACTCATTATTTTAAGCGTTTTAAATTTATCTAATAATAAATTTAATTTAGATTACGCGTGTATTTGGTAATTAAGAATTAGATATTTCACGTTTATTTATAAATATTTCAAAACATTTAGAATTTTATAATATGTACGACGTCTCCTTGAATAGAATATCGATGCTTATAAATCATAATTCTTCTTTGGAATGCATGGTAAGCTTTTTACAATACGCTTGATCAGTATGTTAGGGAAAAAGAAGATGTGTATTATATAGTGCTATCTAAGTCAGTTCATTTTAATCTATGCACACACACACACACACACACACACACACACACACACGTACATACATATGTTTCTAAATATATGATCTAGTGTATATATAAAAAATACATATAAGTATGTAAGTATGTGAGTGAGGCATCGTTAATTTGTTTGAAATCTCTTTTAAAAATGTTTTTGCGTCTTAGATATGACAATTAGATAAAATATAGATCAACGCATTTTAGCATATGTATGTCATCTGTAATTAGGAATATTTGTTGTTGAAAAACCAAATATAATATTCGTTAGATCGATGGATATAAAAAAATACAAGAGTATTTTATTTATAAATGGTGTTATGTAAATGACGATGGATTAAACAAATTTTTACTGAATTTTAACACAATTTTCTTTCATTGAACATTCAATTCCTAGATTTCTCACTGGATGAATACTAGCAATCTTCCGTTTGACATTGCTAGTTAGTCTTTGTTAGTCGGATCCAGTGATAGATCTCTGGACAGAAATGATCTTTATTAATCCGACCTTTTCTTTAGGCAACGATCGTGAAGGTACTCTCGTGTCCTTGAGAATTTTTAGATTTATGATGCATTTATATTTACAGAATTATATAATAATATAATTTTTTTTTTTTTTTCATGTAATTTGACATTTAAATACGATAATCGTTGATCAAATTTAGTTATATGTTTCGTAGATTTTTCTCTTTTGTTTTGTATTATCAATTATTAATCTCAACCATTTCTACATTTATAAATGATCCAGCTGATAGATCAAACGATTCTCTGACTTCGCACACGTTTAAATTATTGTCGTTAACAACGTTAATAGACAATCATAAATATTCACTAAAAATAAATCACAAATGGGGTTGTTTGAATTACAAGATGTAAATAAGGGAAGGATGATGAGTATAAGATATTTCTTTATCTCATTCATTCAACTTTATTTGTAAACGCTTCGCACTTTCGTTGATGCTTCGACAGATCTAATTCTATCATTGATCTATTTCTTATTCATTGATCTTAAATAGGTTAATAATTTCGAATAATATAATCGTGAGTATATCGAGTGACCCAAATTAGATGACAACCCGTCTTACATCGGTACATAAATATTATCAATCACGACGACGATTATACTGAAGTAGTGATAAATAAAAAATATTGATTATAATTATATTACAATTATTCGATTAATCATCCTGAAATATATCTTGAAACGTAATAAATAGAACGATGTTACACGGATATAATGAACATAAAAAATGAATGTCGAACTGTAAACATAAAAAATACTTTTACGCGTATTTTTTTTTTTTCTTTTTATTTCCTTACAGAAAGATTTAAAAAAATCATTTGGGATGTAAATGTTTTACAATGCTGACACGTGAATAATTTTTTAAACCCTCGTAAATTTGTTTGTCGATAAATAAATTTTTCATTTGAATAAATATCACCTTCTTTTATTACTTTTTAAAGAGTCTCGCTTGAGATAAGAAAAATATGCCTGTAGGATTTTATTTTAAGCACGTTACAATTTGTCGACTATTGTAACGTTGTTACGTTTTACACGGGTTATGCAGGACGTGTCTCGTGCAACGCTTCTAATATTAACTTCAATCAGAGGCAATAAGGAGGAAATAACTCGACACGTGCACGCGCTATTATTTATTGTCTCGGATGCTCACGTGATGATGAGAATAGGCATATAAAGGTGTCTTGATCTTGAACGGGCCGACATATTCCTTCGTAGGCGTCGTTCGGACCAAAGTGTGAACGTTCACCTGCGTATATAGGAATATCGTTCGTTTTTAAAAGTTAATCATTATAAACATTTGAAACGGGTTTTTATACGTTACTCGATTCGTAAATTCCGTGATTATTTCGTTTTTCTTTTGTTCTTTTTCAATTTTTTTTTTCTTCGTAATCCCTCAAAAAGTCAAGAAAAATAGTTTCGAAAAAGGAAAGAAAAAAAAAAAGAAAAAAAAACCAAGAAGAAGAAGAAGAAGAAGAAGAAAAATTTTTTCGGGGACAGAACAAAATGCGTGATCTAGAGAATCAAAGAATCTTAAAGGACGAAGAATGTTTCGAGGTGGTAAGGAAGAAACTTCATCGAGATTGCATGGAGGATTTCTCTTTGATCGATTACGAGTTAGTACCTATAGACGGTGTCAATGGTTACATGGGTCAATATTTTAAACTGAAAGCTACGGTCGCACGTCCGATGACACCATTGGAAACGAAAGATTTGAATTTCTTTACGAAGATACCACCGCCTATCACTAGCCCACAATATAAATTCATTCAACAATATGGTACCTTCAAGAAAGAAGTCGAACTTTATACCAGAGTATTTCCTGAAGTTTTGAATGGTCCTGAACAAAAATATATACCAGAGTGTTTTTTGGGTTTGGAAAATGACGTAATTGTATTGGAAGACATGGCGTATAGTGGATTCATTATGACCGACAAATTTGAACCATTTGATTTTGAACATTGTCAGGTCTTGATGAAGACACTTGCTAGGTTCCATGCAAAGTCATTTATTTTCGAGGAACAATATAAAAAGAATTTACACGATGAATTCTCTCATTGCATGCAAGAAACACTTTGGTCTCAAAAGGATGGTAAAAGTAAGGCCATGTTCGATGCTGCTGTTAAGGGTACCGTTTCCATGATCGAGATCATACCAAATTTGAACGAAGATCAGAAGGAAGTTTTAAAGGAAAAACTCATCGATCTATCGGCAAGTCATATGGATAAATTATCACCCTCGTCTAAGCATAAGAACGTCTTGTGTCATGGCGATCTATGGGCAAATAATATACTATTTAAGTATGACAAAGATAAGAAACCAATCGAGTGTTGTCTGATAGATTTTCAATTAGCCAGGTGAGTTTACTTGTCATTTATCGTGAATTAATAAGAAAAATGACAAAATTGAATATTTAATTTTTCTTTCTTTTTTTTTCCTTTTTTTTTTCAAGATTACATTGTGGTATATCTTTTGTAATATTATTTTATATCTTTAGGTACAATCCACCAGCGCATGATATATTATGTTTCTTTCAATTCACGACTAGCCGAGAATTACGAGATAAACATTGTGAGACCTTATTAAAAATCTATTATGATTCAATGACAGAAGCATTGAAAGAAGCACATCTGGACATATCAATGATCTTTCCATGGATCGAGTTTATATCGTCGATTGAGGATTTACGTATTATGTGCATTATTCATGGTATCTTGAATACACCAATCATGCTCTTGGATCCTGGTGCGGCCAGCAAGTACTTCAGCGAGGAACCTGAACTTCTCGAAAATATTCTCTACAACGATAGGACACCTCTTATTTGTGGACAATTTGAGAATGTTCCGAAATATCGGACCAGAATGCTCGAGGGTTTGTTCGAGTTATATGATCGTTTGATCGATTAAATTTCTTTATTTTTTTAGTTTAACAAAAAAGTCGATCTGTAGTATTATACGTAATCCAACATTGGATTTCTATTTGAATTAATCTGTACAATTAAAATATTTAAAATATTGTAAAAAGTAAGAATTTAAAAAAAATAATTGTTTATTTGTTTGTGCCTTCGATAAAGATATTATTTGAATCGAATTGGATGTATTAATTCGATCGATTTAATAAAAATGTCCGAATAAATCGAAAATTCTAATAAATCACAATTTTAACTAATAATTTTATTTATTTTATTATTACTCGATAAAAATTATACTCACCTAGATATAATATTACGAATTATTTTTCGAATGATAAACATCCTCTTTGTATTCTGCAAAGAAATATTTTTAAAGAAGGAAGGATATAAGAATTTTATGTAAAATAAAAATCTCATCTCAAATTTGATGATGGTATCGCACGTTCAAAAAAAAAAACAATAATTATCGATCGTGTGAACGGTATAACCCTATTCGGGACACGCTCGAGATAGGGCATCCGTTCTCTTTTATTACAAACTCTGATGTGAATATCGCACACCGAAACGTGAGGCATAATGGGACTCTTGTAATTTCATACCTTTTATGTATATAATTATTTATATCGTCAATTATAATGAATATATAGTTATGTACAATATTGAATCTCATTCTTTAACAATAACATCAACAACATGATTAAACAACGTTCCTCATTGGTACACAAATTGTAAATGTACAGATAAAAAAGCATTAGATGAGGTTCAATGAGGCATCGAAGGTGGGCGTACACACTCGGCGCGCCTGAATCCCTTCTTCCCTTCGTACACAAACGTAATCCTTTTATCTATCTATATATATATATATATATATATATATATATATATATATATACATATATATATACACACACACATATATATATATATACATAAATATATACATATGTATGTGTATACATTTACACGTACACATACACATATACATACACCTGTTGAAATCTTTTCGATTTTATATGTCCATATAGATCTTTCATTTTCATTGAGCTATTCGTTTTACTCTTCAATCTTTTCATCTTCCTCGTCGTTTTTTATTTCTCCATCTTCTTTATCTCTTCTCTCATATTTTTCTCTTTTGTTAAATTTTATTTTATTCTTTTTTTTTCTTTTTTGTTGTTTTCTTTTTTTTTTTTCTTTTTTTTTACGTAAGCCTTCGTCACACACAGAAGGTGATCCCTTTATCTAGATCACTTTGAGAACGTTATTACCCGTGCGTTATTTCGTGGCACGGAAGAGTCAGAGTGCGTTGATAATGAAGTACACCCGTATATAACTTCATGAATAGAAATTATTATGTTTAATTATCCACGACGATCCTTAGCGTTATTCATTAATTAATTACACGGACCACCGAAATTCCCTTCGAATGTTCTTCATGCAACACCGAACGACATTTTAAATTTCTCTCTCTCTCTCTCTCTCTCTCTCTCTCTCTCTCTCTGTCTCTCTCTCTCTCTCTCTCTATCTTTCTCTCTCCCCTTTTCCTTTTCTTTTTTTATTCCACACCACAGTTTCTTTCCATGCCATAATCAAACGCAAAGGTGTCGTTCGACGTGGCGAAGGTAAAGGGATTAACGCGAGAATACAATCGCACGTACATACACACGTCATGCGCACGCACATTATACGTATATACACACACATTATTTATATCTTTATGCTCTTTATATATATGTATATATACATATATATATATATTTATATGTATATATATATATGTATGTATGTATATATACATGATTATATATATATGTTAATGTATACATACATACATACATACATATATGTATATATATATATATATATATGTATGTATATTTATGTTTATTATTTATATACCTATCAATATTTATATTTCGTTTATACACGTACACGTTCCACATGCACGCAACAAAATATACGCCGTGTGTCACTCAAGGCGAATTAGATTACACGGTATGTATCGATCGAGTCGGTGCATGATTTAATTATTAAGGAGAGTACACGACGCTTTTACTTCCTCGCGAGGAACCAGCCAGGGCCGACGCTTAGCCGCTCTCTTTTAAAACTTGTAGCTCGATCTCCCATGATTGTCGACGTTCTTCTTTTTTTTTTTCTTTCTTTCTTTTTTTTTCTTTTTTTTTCCTTTTTTTCCTTTTTTTCCTCTTCTTCTTATTTTTTTTCTTTTTTTCTTTTTTCTTTTTTTTTTTTTTTTTCTTTTTTTATACCTTCTAACAGAACGACAAGAAGAATCTTAATAGATAAAAGACACAGAGATTTTTATTAGGGAACTAGTAAATAGCGTGAAAGAAAGTGAGAAAGAAAGAAAAGAAGAAAAGAAAAGAAAAGAAAAGAAAAAAAAAGCAATTCGTTTTAATGAATGAAAAATGAAACGTCGACGTTAATGGGATCGAGAACAAATATGCTGGACGATCACGATTCTTGAAAAATCCTTCTTTCTCTCTCCATTTTGTGCGTACGCATCCTGGGTTTTAAAAAAAGGAACTCGACGAAAGGATAAAAAAGTTGTTTTCTTTTTTTTTTTTTTTTTTTTTTAATCGAAAGCGAACGAACATCGAACTGTCTCTCGATTTGAAAATCGATCACGAACGAAGCTTTCCTTGGCTCCGTCGCGACAGGACGCAAATCGTCGACCGATTCGTTCTAAACGAGATTCCTACGCAAGGCTCCAACGAGTTTCTTGTTTTGTTTTTATTTTATTTCGTTTCGTCTTTTTTTCTCTTTCTTTTTTTTTTTTCTTATTTTGTATTCCTGTTTTTTTTCTTTTGTTTGATTGATTTTTATCTTGTATATTTGTTTCTTCATCGATTTGTCGTTTTTATCGTATCTTTCATCGTATCGATTTCGTACACTTTCGTTCATTACTTTTTCTCATCAATACTTTTTTCCTTTTTCTCTTTTTCATCATTTTTTCCTCTTCTTTTTCGAGTCTTTTTTGCTCGAACAAGAATGTCACAACACATGACAGAGCACCGATCATGACACGAATCACATGACACGAATGTGTCTGTATATAATGCGCGAAGGGACGAGCACCGAAGACGGGCTTTCGTTAATAAGATTTACATTTCATGAAACTTTAACTTCTTATTCTTATTCCCTTTTTTTTCTTTTTCTTCTTCTTAGATTGACGAGAAAAGAGAGACTCTTTCGAAGATTCAAATGTATTCTTTTTTTTTTTTCTTCTTTTTCTTTTTCAATTATTCTTTTTTATCAATTAACGAAATTTAATTGGCAATTTACGATGATAAGTTTTGTACAAAAAGGAAAAGAAAGGAAAAAAAAAAATATATATATATATTCCTATCGTTAGAAAATCGTTAGAATATCGTTAGAAAGAAATCTAATTCCGATTCGATGCAAAGAAAAAATTCAGTCTCCCTTTTATATAAATTAAATCGATTCATAAATAAGTCAAGAAGAGTTTATTACAAAGAAATGATACTTATTTATGTATCAATCTAATAAAAACGATATATTTTTTTTTTAACAAGAATTTTTATTTTTCGATGGGTTAAGTCATAAATAAGTACCATTTTATCGTAATAAATTTCTTAATTATAACGATGCTTATTCTTATGAATCAACTTGACATATTTTTCTAGACGACGTGCCCTTCGGCCCATTCCCGTTTCCACATTTCCACATTTTTTCTTTGTGGAAATTATATTACGTTCATCTTCTCAATTAAAATATATCTCATTCATCGTTTGGTATTTAAATAATAACGAAAATAAGGGACGTACGATTATTTCTATTCTTATCTTTTCATTTTTCTCTCGTCCCGTCGCGCTCGTTCACAGATCCTGCATAAGAAATTAAAAGAAGATCCTTCGAGTGGAAAGAGACAGACAAACAGACAGACAGACAGACGGACAGACGGACAGACAGACAGACGGACAGACAGACAGACAGACACACGTACGTATGTACAGATTGACAGACAGAGAGGACACATACAAATTTTCCAAAATTCTACCTCGAAAATTTTCGTCTTTCATTTTAGATGCCAGGTGCCCATCGATCGTTTGCACATATTTTTTTTTTTTATGTATATATACATCCTATTACCTCTTCTTTTTCTCATCATTATCATATTCATAATCATAATCATAATTATAATCATAATCATCATCATAATCATCATCATAATCATCATCATCATCATCATCATTAACGTTCAACTTCATAAGCTTCGAGACTTTTCCCCGTCACTTCGAAATCGAGCTGTACACACAGAAACGTTTATGTACAACGAATTAAAATACGAACTGCAGTGGCAGTGAACAGTGCAGATGAATAGGTACTCCAAACAGCAAGTTAATTAGCGGCACAGCGCAACAGCGGCGGCGGCGGCGGCGGCGGCGGCGGCGGCGGTAGCGGTGGCGATTACTATTTTTTAATATTATTTTTTCCCCTTTTTTTATATCTCCTTTTTTTTTTTCTTAATCACATTATTACAAACACACACGAGACACGATACGTCTATATCATTATCTACCCGTTTAGCTCGATACCTTCAGCTTTCCCTTTTTTTTTTTTATTACGCATTTATTCTTCTTCTTCTTCTTTTTCTTTTTCTTCTTCTTCTTCTTTTTCTTCTTCTTCTTCGCTTTTATTTTTACGATTTGTATATTTTTCTTTTTTTTTTGTTTTTTTTTTTAAATATTTTTTCTTTTTTAAATTAGTTTCTCTTTCTAGTAGATCTTTTTTTATCGCTCTCTGTGTCCTAGGCTAATTAACACCGCACGTTCTGTTTTTCCTTCGTTAGCGAGAAAATCGAGGGTATGAAGTAGATGAGAAGAAAAAAAGAAAGAAGATAAAAAATCGATGAAATTTACGTACGCGTGAAAATTCAACGAAATTTCTTTTATAAATTTTATTAAATTAAATTTTTTCATTTTAATCCTTCTCTTTATATTTTGATTTTCATCCGCTTCTACCCTCGGTCTCCAGCCACGTGGACTTACTACGCACACACATACACGCATTACGTGCCGGACACGAAGAAGAAACACGATTAGAGAGTCGCGCCGTCGTCGGGCTTCACGATGGGACGTAAATAAGTACCGTGAGCCTTTTTACTTCCCCGTTTATGTGTGTGTGTATGCTTACGTGCATGTAACACGTACCCATATACGCATTATCGGAGATCGAAAGAATATATTAATGAATGAAAGAACAAACGAACGACGAATGTATGAATGAACGAACGAACGATCGAATGAATGAACGAACGAATGAATGAATGAACGAATGAATAAATGAACGAATGAATGAACGAACGAATGAATTAACGAACGAGTGAACGAACGAATGAATGAACGAATGAATTAATGAATGAATGAACGAATGAATAAGAGAGAGAGAGACAGAGAGAGAGAGAGAGAGAAAGAGAAAGTACAATACCTGTTCACAAGTTTATCCGTTATATGTAGGTATGTATATTTATATCCTTCCGCATATGTGTATATATATATGTACGTCCGTTATGTTTTCATATTTTCTTGCATTTTTCTTCTTGTTTTTCTTTTTCATTTCTTTTCTTTTTTTTTTTTATCTTTTTACTTTTGTTTTATACATAGGTGAGTTTCACAAAAATATATAAAAGAGAGAGAGAGAGAGAGAGAGAGAGAGAGAGAGAGAGAGAGAGAGAGAGAGAGAGAGAGAATACTATGTGTACATATATATGTGCATATAATACCTATATATAATCGATTTACTTCACGTCGCGTATTTATGTGTGTACATTTGTTTTGTGTATACGTAAAAGTATGATTGGCCTCGTTCAAATCATATCTCTTTTCTTGTCTTTTCTTGTTCTTTCTTTTATTTTTTTTCCTTTTTTTTCTTTTTTTTCTTTTCCTTTTTTCTTTTTTTTTGATTTTTTTTTCTTTTTCCTTTGTCCTATCTAACATTTTTTTCCCCCTCAACATTTCGATGAATCTTAATTTTAACACGTACACTTTATACATTTGCACGTGTATCTTTGTGTGCGTGTGTGTGTGTGTGTGTGTGTGTTTAACGTCCAACGTTTATATCTCTTGGATTAGATTACATCTCTCTTACTTTCTTACTATCTCTTTATTCTCTTAAACTCATGCCATTGCAAAAGAGTCCCCCCTTTATTTCGTCGCATATCCTAACGTTTTATAAAGTGTCTTTAGGCTTTGGGATGTTCACGAATGAATAGCACCCTATTATCTCTTATTCGTACATATATACAAAAAAGAAAAAAAATTAAAATTAATTTATCAGTTAGAGAAAGAAAAAGACGAAGAGAGACAGATAATGATAGATAAATAGTTAGATAGAGAAAGATAGAGATAGAGAGAGTGAGAAAGAGATAGAGATAGAGAGAGCGAGAGAGAGAGAGAGAGAAAGAAAGAAAGAGAGAGAGAAAGAGAGAGAGAGAGTGAGAGAGAGAAAGGAATCGCATGAAAGTTACATATGAAGAAAAGAAGAAGACGGTGAATGCAGGCCGAAATAGCTCAAGGATGGAAATGCGAGCGACTACGAACGTTTTTCGTTATTTTTTTGTTGTGATTTTTGTTTTTCTTCAAGAGATATACAAGAAAACGTACATATATGAACGTATATGTACACGTACTTGCCTCTGTATATATATATGTATATATATATATATAAAATGGATTTGTATATATATGTATATGTATATTTATGCACACACACACACACACACACACACACACACACACACACATGCGTGTACGCACGCACATACACGCACACGCACACAAAATGTTTCTTCATCATACAATGATAACTCTCAAATGAAACGAACGGGAGAGATCAGAGTTCTTTCTTTTTTATGCAAGAAAAGACACGCACACACATACATAGATGACGCGCGACTCTTAACTCTTTCGATGACGTTCGACGTCATTGTTAAGATTAGGAGGGGGTTTGGGGGCTGCTCCTCGACGTCCCAAAGTTTTTTCGATCGTAGTGGTAGTCATCGTAGAGAGAACCGGTAAGCTACATGATACGTACGTATGTACGTAAGTACGTACGTACTTACAAAAAAATTATTTCAAAAAACACAGTTGTATACGTTTCTTCTTCTTCTTCTTCCTCTTCTTCTTCTTATTCTCCTTCTTTTTCTCTTCTTTTCTCTTCTACTTCCCTCTTTCTTTCTTTTTATTTTTTTCCTCTTGTTTTTATATTTCTTCCGTTATCTTTATCTTCTTCCATCTCATTTCTTTCATATTCTTTTGCACCGATACGATGTGCGTGTGCGTGCGTATGTGTAAAACCTGTACAAAGTGCTCGAGATTGAAAATTTGTATTGTTCCTTTCGTATTTGTTTGTGTAAAGCAAGACACACGAGGTAAAGGTTACAACGTTTTTGTTATTTTATTTTTCTTTTTTTTGTAGTTTTTTTGTCTTTTTTTGGTAATTTTTTTTTGTATTTTCTTTGTTGTTTTTTTTTTGTTTTTTTTTTGTCGTTTTTTTTTTTTCTTTTTTAATGTGTACGTAGTAGTCCAGGGCACACTACGATTTTCTTCTCTCTACACGCACTCATCAAGCTGTGTCTCCTTTCTATCCTTTCGATACTCACTTCTCTCTGGATTTATTTTTGTCTTTTTGTATTTCTTTTTTTTTCTTTTTTTTTTTTTTATTGTTTTTTTATATCTCTTTTTCATTTTTCACCTTTGTCGCCGATTTTCTCTATCTTTTATCTTTCTTTCATTTTCTTATCTTTATCTCTTCTCGATTTGGCCTCTTCTTCGATGCACCTCCTATCAATTGAAATCATTTGTCTTTTTGCTTTTATAATAATAATATCGTTTTTATATTTTTATCTCTTCGCTTATTTATTCTATTTGTCTTTTGTTTACGTCTTCAAGTTTTGCGTTTCCATTTTCTTTTTTTTTTTTTTTCTTTCTTACGTCGAGGTATGAAAAGAGTCAGGTTTGCAGGGACGAGAGGGAAAAATGGAGAGAAAGAGAAAGAGAAAGAGAGAGAGAGAGAGAGAAAGAAAGAAAGAGAGGGAGAGAAAGAGAGAGAGAAAACGAGAGAGAAAAAGAAAGAGGTGAGGCGAACGTAGGACAATTAATTACTATTTTAATTAGTCTCGACGAATCGCTTTCGACTCTTCCTCGTCGCACCATCTTTTCCTTCCTTTTCTCATTTTTTTTCGTCTTCTTCTTTCTCTTCTATCTCTTTATACTTTTTCTTACAAACAAAACAATTCTCGTTTCTCGTCTCTTTAATCCTACGATAATTAAATAATTCCGAATGAATTACACGGAGGCGTTGATTTTTTATCTGTTCTTATGTTTTTTGTTTTCTTTATTTCTTTTTTCATCTTCTTCTTCTATTTCTTCTTCTTCTTCTTCTTCTTCTGCTTCTTTCACTTCGTCTTCTTTTTTAAGTGTTGCTTCGTCGCGTTATTCTTTGTAATTTTTTTTCTTTTTCTTTTTTTTTTTTTTTTTTTGAGTTCACTGGGAATCATCTTACAGTACGTCGGGGAAGGCTCCGCGAGTCGGTGAAACGTCAATCCTCCCACCTATTCTCTGTAGCTTCTCTTTTCTCCCGTTGTTTTTGTTGTTGTTGTTGTTTGTTCGCTTTCCTGCATCTTAAATTATTATACATATACGCTCCTCTCTTGAGCTTTCTTATGTGTATAAGGGGCAAGGGGAGGGGGTGACTCGATCACACATTTTATCTCCGCGATAAGCCAATCAGTCCTTGCGTTAATAATTGTCCTATAGCTGCAGAAAGGACAACTTTGATTGATTCTTGAGAGCACCACGTGTAGCTACCCTCGGACCATGTTTCACCATGCCACTACCAACATTTCCCAATTCTCCTTTTTATTTTGAATTTTTTTTTTTTTATTTTCTTCTCCTCTTCATCTTGATTTTCATTTTCCTATCCACTTGTTATTCTTCCACCATTTTCCATCCACTCAATCCTCTCCTTCGTACTACAAACTTTCGTCCGTTCTTTTGACCTTTTTGTTTTCACGATCACGCGTTTATTACACAATATTTGCAATATTATCGAAAAGGGAAACGTGGAAGTTCTGTGAGGGATATATAAGATTGTGACAAAATAAAAAAGAAAAAGAGAGACAGATAGAAAGAGAGAGAGAGAGAAAGAGAGAGAGAGAGAGGGAGAAAGAAAGAGAAAGGGAGATAGAGAAATATAAAAAATAGATATAAACAAATAGATAAATTGAGAAAAAGAACGAGATAAAGAAGAGATAGAGAAAAAAGGTAGGATTCGCGTGGCTGGCTGATAATCCTGATAACGTTGACTTAAACGGGAAGAACGGACGTTTTTATAATTTCTTTCTTTCTTTTTTTGTTTTTCTTTTTTGTTCACTTGCTTGCTCGCTTGCTTGGTTTTTCTATGGACGGGGCTCGCGTAGGCTCGATGATGGACGCGTGATATTTCATCTCCTTTCTCGAACGACGAAGAAGACGGGATGAGTTCAGGAATGATGGGCGGCATGATGACCTTCGACGCGTGAATTAGATGTAGGAGTAAGGTCCGTCGGTGAGGGCGCTACACAGCAACAGTCAGGAGGCGTCGTCTTTGCCACGGGCACCTCTGCTGGGCCTGTACTCCAGTCCTGGATCGAACTGCATCAGCACGAAAACCTGAAAATTTCAATTAATTCAATTACAGATTTTCGACAACGATTTTATCTTAGAAATTTAATATAACGTTAAAAATGATTAATTCAACGATCAATAAAAATATAAGTACATATAGAAACGATAAGTGCAATTATTTTTGAAGGATATCAAAGAAATGTTACGAATTATTGATTTATAAATTATTACGTAATATTTTAGAAATTATTTCTTTAATACCTGATCTGTGGGCAAAAGTGTGAAGTCATCCGGTGGATTTGTAATGACGTATCTCTTTGACGAAGCATCGCACGATGAACTTGTATCTCGAAACCTAAAAAAAATACGTTCATTCGTAAGTCTCCATTGATCTTGTACTCATAATCCAACGACATACACTCATAAAAACACACTCACACGTAAGCTAAGCTAAATGTAAATAAACTTCACGACACGTTTTATCGAGTTTCTAACAATATAACTACGTTGAATTTAATAAAACAAAGTGTTAAAACTCAAGTTACGGGAAATAAAGAGCAATCTACTTGGAGAAGCTAGATAATCTATCTTTAAATCGAATTAAGATAAATATTATGGAATAGAAATGAAATTAAAAAGAAAATAATAATGATAATAATAATAATAAAAAAAAAAGAAGCTACGCTAAGATAAATTAAGAATAGCTAAGATTCTATGAAATAGACTAAGCGTAGTGTATGTACAATTAGCTAGGAAGTTTAATTGTTAAGCGTATGTAAATAAAATGAAATTTTGAAGTAGAAAAGTGAAATCTCGAGGAAGAATGAAATTATTGAAAGATTATTAGAAATATAATAGATTAAATAAAACGTTAAAACTAAAAACAAAATTGAAAAATAAAACTAAACTAAAATGTTAAATAACTAAACTAAGCTGTTTTAGTTTGCAACATTAAACTAAATGCTAAACAAATAGATGACAATAAAAAATGATAGGTATTTTTTGGATGAAAAAACTCACGATCATTGTTTCGTTCTCGTGACGCAAAAACGGAAAATGCAAAACTGTGCGACAGAAAATGAAAGAATCACGGAAGTAATTATTACAAGAATGATATACGATAAAAATTATCATAGACTTTGGTAGCGATATATAATAATATATAATATGGCAGCAATCAGAAAGATCATTGTAAGCCAGAATACATATATTATCCAATAAATACCATCGAGAGAGGGAAAAAATTCCGGTACCTGTACCTGTACAGACCAATGCACAGCATTCCATACGATTTTAATGCTGCGACAAAGAGGTCACCGTACTTGCCTCCTTCGCCATACTGAGCCAATGGCCCATCATACAATGCGATTTGACCAACTCGACATCGATCTCTATTGGCTAAACTGTCCGCGGTGCTAAAAAAAAATTCAATCCAAAATATTGTCATTATTGCATGGATATGTTATCGGTGAATAAAATTCTAAGGATAATATATATATAACAATGAAATGATATAAGAGAAAAGAAAGTTGTGTTTTTAACACACAGGTGTTGTGTGAAAAATAATTTTTCACCTGTAACCCCCTCTTAAACCGGCACCTTCTGCCAAAATTAATTCCAATTCGGGCGTAGCTCCACCGGTTATCAGAGAACGAATCAAAGTTAGCGCGTTTTGATTGAAGTACGTCTGTAATATTTATAAAAGGATACTATCGTATAAATAATTTTCAAAGTAAAGATCCTTGAAACAATTCAATTTATTTATTTACCGTCGACATGAGCGAATCTAATACGCTCACGGCAAAAGCGGTACCACATGCGAACGGTTGTGTGAGGTAGAGTTCCGTGTCTGGGTCATCGTCATCATCCTGATCAAGGAACTGAACATTGCTGTCGTTTACGAGTTCTATAAATATGAGATATATCGTTATCATTAAAAACTTTAATATTTCAACACAATGGTCTAGATTATACTTGTTCTTTTTTTTTTTTTCTTTTCAAGTTGTGGCATACTGAAAAGATATAAATCATTTGAATTGCATCGTTATTATTTTATTATTGTCTTTATTTATTCATACCTGTGATCATTGGCACGTTTGCCCCGTAAACGGATCCTCGTCGCTGTAGTACGATCGGGCTGCCAACTGTGGTCAAATTACCTTGCTCATTATTCGCTGGAATTTTCACTCATGGTTTAATAATATCATCATGGACACATCCAAACGAGAAACAGACGAGCAAGTATACATATATATATCACGTAATTAACACGTTGATACGATCCAAATTAAGTTTTATAAGCAAAGCTTTTAAACGAGTTTTCTAAAATCGTACCATTGGAAAATATCGATGTTTTTCAACGTGTTAACGAGATAACGTAACGTATAACCCGTAGATCTAATTCTAAGCTCGGAGAGCTTACCTTGACTTAACACTCCGATCGTATCGTCGAACGTCATGGCCTTTATATTAAGGGATGCGAGGATGGCTTCCTTGTCGGCGAGGGTGGGGTCATCGTTGCTAGGCACTTTTGCCGACAGGATGCAACACATGTCGCATAGATTCACGTTGACTGCTCGCAGATCAGCTCTACTCAACGGTGAACCCTTTAAAAAATTAATTTATTTTCAGTATATAATCTTAATTAATTTAGAATTACCGAGTAATCAAATTCTATTTTATATTGGCTTACGTTCAACACCGATATTTTTGGTAGGTTCTGCAACATTTTCCATTCGCGGCGGATGTAGTCCACAGACCCAACTATTACTACGTGTTTAAGCTCGTGGTAATGGAAATTGGAAGCTCGTAATGGCATAACAAGGTTTCTCAACCCGATAAGAGGCGAGTCGGGATCGGCAAACAGGCAAACAACAACGTGTCCATTTAGAACCGTCATAGCCGCCTGATTACGATCTAATATACAGTCTTCGAGATTACGGGATGGACTCCAGTGGAACATGCCCGTTGAGTCGTATTTCATTTCGGTTTTCTCAAAGTCAAAATCCTTTGCCTGATCGTCGGCGATGCCAACTTGAAGACCACCGTTGTTGTTTACGTTTGTGCCACCCGAGGCTCTACTCGTTGGCCTAAAAAAAGAAAGAACACAACAAAAATTAATAAGCTGATACAAATTTATTATTACCACAGTTTCTATTTCGTTTAATTAATAATATCGTACATTAGTTTCTTCACTTCATAGGCAAGATGGTAGCCAGCATATGCGGATTCTTCTTGCGATCTGAAAATCAATAAAACAAACCGTTAATAATAATATGAATATTTCTAATAAAGATGAAGGAAATTTGTCCTATAAAAAAAAAAAACCAAAAAAAAAAAAATAGATAGAATTGACTCTAAGTCAATACCTCTGATTATAAGGCTGATTGGGACTCGACAAACTGTCATTCGTCGCTCGATTCACATTCGGTTTCACTTTGTTGACTTGCTTCGTCGAATTCATCATTGTCATTCCAACAGAATTTCGATGATTCCTCATTGCTATAATAGATTAAACATTAGATATTTCTATTAAGTATAAACATCTTTAAATGATCGAAACTAAAAATCGTACGATATATATTTGAAATTGTACAAATTTCAAGAAAGAGAGAGAGAGAGAGAGAGAGAGTGAGAAAGAGAGTGAGAGAGAGAGAGAGAATAGGATCTATTTATAAAGATAAAAATAAAAAGACTCACCGTTCGGATCTTCTCGTTCACGATTGATCTCACCTAAAATATATAAGATACTATTAATTTTTTCATGATCAATGATCTAACCGTGATCGATGATGGGCCACATTAATGCCGGTGACATATACATAAAATATTTTTTCGATTGACAAAATTTAGAGGAATAGATTTTTTTATATTTCTGATTTTTTTTTTTATTTTTTTTGTTTTTTTTTATTTTTTTTTTTTTAACAAAACAAATAACCAGCATTAATGAGACACTATAATTACACGAGTATCACGTTGTTCGCGAACTAACACCCCCCCCGTTATTACTGAGCGATGGATAAAATCCTACGGAGCCCCATGCTTACAGGCGCGCATAACTCAGCCTAGACATGTAATTTATATAGTTTTTAGCACGTGCCAGAAAATCAACAAAAATAAATAGTACGGCCAATGCTCGAAGCCTGACATTTATGTATTTAAATATTTACGAAGCAGCGTAGTAATTACACGTACGTCTTCTTCTACAATTTATATATAATTTTCTATTTATTTCTTTTTTTGATTTCTTCCTTTCATTCTCAATATTCGTATTTTTTCAAGATTGCGTATAAGAGAAGACGCACGTTTCTTTATCGCAGCGAGCGATTATCAAAGTTCGACGTGTATCCACGTCCTTTTTCCGTGTGAGAAACATCGAATGTTTAATAATTTCGAGCGTACTGCGGCAAGAACAAAAGAAGCGCACATACATGTAATATATGCGAATATATAATAATAATCAATAATAATAGTAATATTAATATACGTACGTTTATAATATGTATGTATAAGTAAGTAAATCTTCCATAGTTTTTAACAAATGCATTCGTCGATAGCTTAAGAGGAAATAATGAAGAAATAATACACGACGACGAGTCTACGACACGAAGCGCTTCCATGCATCAAGAATATTGAAAAAAGAAATTAAAAAAAAAAAAAAAAAAAAAAAAGAAGAAGGAAAGAAAAAATAATTTCAAAAAAAAAAAAAGAATAAAAGTAAATAAAAAAGAAAAAAATCGAGAGATAAAAATTAATATTTCCTCACTAAAATTCTTGTTGTATCATTCAGTGTCAGTCGGTTCGTGTATCGATTGCGATTGATCTCATTGATAATGAAAAATATTTTGTTGTGTTTGAATTAGTCGTTTCGAATATGAAGAGAAGAAAAATAATATATATATATATACATAAAAAAAAAAAAAAAAAAAAGAATATCATACCTTAAGGAAAGCTCTTAAGCACAATTACGTAACGTTATTCGTTCGATCGACGATCTTTTATTTTGCAAGAAGCCGCACACATCATTGTTACGATATCGTCAAATTAATTATTATTTAGGCAGAGCAATTAAAAATTAAAAAAAAGCGATTCTCGTACATCTCCTTTGTTAATATCTTTTTTTTTCTTTTTACTTTCGTTTTCTTTCAGAAAGTGAGAAAGTTAGATATATAAATAGATAGATAGATAGATAGATAGATAGATAGATAGATAGATAGATAGATAGAGAGAAATATAGATAATATTTTTCTTGACATCATGCTTCTCGTTATTTTATTATATTGATAATTATTTTTCTTTTTTTTTTCTTTTCTTTTTTTTTCGCGCTCGTTGACGTTCGGAAAGGCAGTTTGCGAGACTGTAGCATGGATTTGATTGAGGTGTAACTGTACCTCTCACGTGAACCATCTTGGGCAGTTCTGGCGGAGTGAATGTGGGGGGAGGATGGTGGTCGTCTGCAACAAACCACTACACATGTTAGCTACGCTAACTAATTAACTAACGCCTAAACTTGCTACTCTAGAACTAATCGCTAAATACATCGGTGACTGTGCTTGCAAACTTTCCTCTATTTCGTTCGAAAACTCACTTTTCATTCCCGTATGATCGACAATAGATAGTATAAATATATGTACAATAATACTGATTTAAGATCGATTGAATGTTATGGTTTTTTTCTTTCTTTCTTTCTTTTTTCTTTTCTTTTTAGTATGATATTTAATTGAGTTTTCCATCGAAGTTGCAACTAATTTCTACGTCACTACTACTATTAATACTATTACTACTACTACTGCTATTACTACTACTACTACTATTACAACTACTACTACTACTGCTACTACAATTACTACCACTACTATTAGTTTGTTACTACTATTATTATTGTAATAATACATACGATTTACGAAAACGAACATACATACATAGTTGGGTAATTATAACTTGGATAAACTATTTTACCAAAAACAGTTCGCATCAACAAGGACGAGCCAGAGAAATTCATATAAATCTCTTTCTCAATCGCAGAGGAAAGTTTCTATTGTATTAATTATGCAAAGATTCGTGAAGATGCATAGTGGAGTTAATTTGAGAGAGAGAGAGAGAGAGAGAGAGAGAGAGAGAGAGAGACAGCGAGAGAAAGAGAGAGCGAGAGAGAGAGAGAGAGGGTGAAAGAGAAAGAGAAAGAGAAAGAGGGAGAGAGGGAGAGAGAGAGAGAGAGAGAGAGATGGATAAATAGATAAATAGAGCGGAGGACAAGTTATAAAAAAAGAGAATGAGAAAGATAGACGTAGACAGAAGGAGATTAAACAAATCTAAATCGTCCATGTTATACCAACATATTTCTCAAATGCGCTCACAAGCTGTGCACTGTGCATTATGATATCACTTCTAGCATGCATTGGCTGGCAAGCTAGGTATCGTCAAGTGTTTGCCTTTTATGCTCGCATGCGAAATAAAATTTTTTCTTTTCTAAAAATAGACAACGAAGATGTTCCACGGTTATTTTTCCATTTTTCTTTTTCTTTTTTTCTTTTTTTTTTTTTTCTTTTTCCTTAATTCGGAATCCGCTTTCGTTTTTTCGTCCTTTCCTTTTCCTTTTTATTACATTCATTTAATTATTTATTTATTTCTTTTTTTTTTTGATCACTTAATATTTCTCTCCTCGCTTAGACATTTCTTTTTTTTCTCGAGAAAAAAATTACAAACGACTTTCCGCAATTTTCATTATTTATTTATTATTAATATCCCCGTTTATTATATCCATTCAACGAGCATGCATCGAAGGATTTCGTTCATATGTATATATTTTTTTTTTGCGTTGAATTTTCTATATCATTTATTTTTTTTTTTGAGGCTCTTTTTTTCCCTTATTCCTCCTCCTACTCCTCTTCCTTGTCATCACAGTGCACACGTTCCCGTTATAAAGTGCAAGACCTTTTTATGCACCCAAGGGAGGAATTGACGTGCAGAAAAGTAGACATTCGAGCAAAAATTCTGTGTATGTGAGAGAGAAAAAGAGAATAAAGAGATAGAAAGAGAGAGAAAGAGAGAGAAAGAGAGAGAGAGAGAGAGAGAGAGAGAAAGAGAGAGAGGGGTTGGTAAAATCTTTGAAAAGAGTGCTTGAAAAGTATACGCACACACACGAAGGGAAAGAAAAAGAGAGGGAGAGAGAGAGAGAGAGAAAGAGAAAAAGAGAAAGAGACTGTTGGACGGATGGACAGACAGACAGAAATAGTTTGTATTATGTGAGAAACGGAATCAAAGGAGAAAAAGAAGAGTCGTTTTAGCCGTCGGGGTTGCC